TACCTGAATTCATGGTTATGTTGATAGCGGAAGGCCTTGGCTTGGAGAAAGAAAATATTCTAGAAACACTTCTGCCATGTCCTAAATAAATAGTTCATCCCATCTTGGGAATCCCAGAGGGGATCACTACATTATAACAGTAACTGATTTTCATGAAAATCAGTTGGAATTCTGTTCAGTGACTATCTAAAAGGCAGGCAGAAATGTATTCATTAAAGTTTAGTTATATTTTCATCAGAATGATTAAAATCAGTTATATGGAGAAATTCAACAATGTGGAACAAAGTCACCTATGAGGAAATTTTCATTCTTGAAAGATAAGCACTCAGTTTAGTACTTTGCTAATAGGCTTTTTGAGGTGTTGTCTGCCACTTGCCATCTTTGTCTAGACCAGCACTAGCATTCTAGGTTGTTCTTTGGGTGAGAACTATAAATGGAGAAAGGAGGTCTGGCATTGAATCTTGTCTTTATCACTTAATTGTATTGAGATCTTGGGAAAGTTCTCAGTTTCCCTGAGCCTGTTTTGCTACCTGTGAAACAGTCATATTACCATTTCATCCCAGAATTTTTAAGGAGAGGATTGGTGAATGATCTTGGCATAGTTAATATTCTTTTACCATTATTTTTCTCCTACTTTGATCCTGGTAGGCAACTTGCTGTGTGTCATTTGGCAATTAGTGATTTATTGGCTTGGCTTCTATTGGTGGGATAGCTGTTGTGAGGTATGCAGTCCTTCGTTTTGGAAATCCTGGGAGCTCAGAGAGTAGATATTCTTGCTTCTCAAAAACAGTGGGGCTCCCATGGATTTTTGTCTCTTTACATATTTTATGTTAAACACACTTATTCCTCCCATGCGGGAAAAAGTTAAAAGTGATCAGTGACTTGTCCCTGGGTCCCTTTCCTAACAGGTGGTCCTAACTTCAGGCTTCTGTGTGCTGTGTAAGCTTCTCTAGCTGAGGTCGTGATAAGATCTCTTCCGAGTCCTCTGGAGTTAGGATGTGACTGGAGTCCAGTTTCTTTTGTTCTTTAATCTTTCAGTTGCAGTGGCCTTGGTCTGGAGAGTTGTGATTTGTCCTTGGTTAGATTACGCACATCCAATACTTGGCTTTCTTATACTCTTTCCCTCCCAGTTTTGCCTGACTCTTAACTTCTGTGGGTTCTTACCTTTAAAAGCTGACTACTTGGAAATGAGAATTTGGTTGCTGCTCTGTGATTGTTCCTGTGTCCTTCCCATCTCTGAGGTTTTGTTTATTGGCAGCCTATGTTCCATATCCTGCTGTTCTCTGCTCAGACCTTATCAAAACAATATTTAAGATGACTGATTCGTTAAAGACTCAGCTTTGACTTCTCAGAAATAAGACTGCATGTCATTCTCATTGGCCTTAGTGTTTCCTAATCAGGGCTTAAACCCTAACTTTAATCTGTAGTTCTGCAACCTATCTTACATTTTTAGTAGTACCTGAAACTACTTCTAACCAGTGACCTGGATTCAGGAATCTCTGGTTTCAAAATTGCTTCTAACTTGCTATATGACTCTTACCAAATAATTTAACCACACTGGGCCTAAATTTACTTTTAACCTGTAAAACTAGGATTGGATCGGTTTTTCAAATGTTCTTTGTTGTTGGTTGGGGTGGGATGGGAATGACAAGAAAGCTCAGTAGGTAGGCTCTTCATTCAATGAAGATTTTGTTTATATACTGAAGGCTTTCACTATTAAATAACTTGGAAAAACTGCTGGACTGGATGGTCTTTTAAGACTGCAGGTACCAAGCCTTTGGCACTCTAGGATCCATCCCTTTTAACAGTAGCATCTATTTTTAGATGAGACAAGGATACCTAAGCTGTATTACAAATGTAGTTCCAGACACATCATGGTACTCCACATCTAGTCTGGTTCCTGATACTTTTAACCAATGCTCTGGCTTGGCTATTCCCGTAGTGCCTGTCCTTTTCCTTTGGCTCATAGTATCCTCCTCAGCACAAGCATTATTTGTAAGCCTCCCTTCCCCATTTGATACTACCCAATCAAGACTCTAGTATAAATGTTCTGTCCCTTCAAGAAACCTTCCCCAGTTGGCCATTTTCCCAAAGTACATTTTCCATTCTCATGACTCAGTACACTTTGCTTTGTTTGGTAGTTTTATGTGTAAAGCTCAGAGAAGGACTGGATCTTGGGTTTCTTTATTGTAAACCATCCCAACACCTTGCATTGCACTATACTGAAGGTAACATGGATCCAAGTCATATGGCTTAAAAATTCTTTTCTCTTTCAGGATCGAATCATCAATTTAGTTGTTGGCAGTTTAACATCCTTATTGATTCTAGTAAGTATCCTCATTTTGTGCCTCACCCAGGCTCTTAGCCAAAGTTTTGAAAACTTTATCAATTATAATTAACTTTCCAAAAAGTTAAGTGCTTTTATTACCACAAAATTGCAATTGCTAATTGGAGTAGCTAATTTAATTCCGCCGTACCCCCAGGTTGAATATGTGAAATGGTACAAGTCAGACAACTTGGTTTTCAGATAATTGAGTTTACCATGTTTTGCCTAGTAAATTTGTAAAAACGTCAGTGTAGCCACTTCCTTCTGTCATCATCTACCATAATTCCCCATTTCTATTAATTTTGTTCCTAAAGAACATATCCATTACCCTATGGTCAAGTTTTAAAAGATGTGGTCACAGTGTATAGCAGTTTTACTGTATACATACTGTAAAATACATGTGGGAGCTATCACAATAAAATTTTTAAAAGCTGTATTTTCCATAGTTTGACATTTTTCTGGCACATTTTCATTAAATTTGATAATTTGTTTTTTCCATGGCTTCTTAATGAAAAGATTGCATATAATGCTGCATCTGTTAGAAACAGAACTACACGGTACTAGGTCTTTCAGTGTGTTTCATAATGTTATAGCAAAACCGGCTTTGATTATATTCATTTTGCTAGGAATGTTTAAAACAACAAAATGGCTAGAACTTTTTCTAGTAGAATCATTAATTCTGGGAGTGAGGTTTAGTTAAAGAAGTTATTTTGGGATCAGCTAGTTTTACTAATGTTTTCTCTCCTTTCATAAGTAAGGGAAAGGTTAGAAAAGGAGGAAGTACTAAAAACTCAAACATATTTATAATTACTCTAACATTCTAGAAAGCAAACTTGGTGGCAGATGTAATTGTTGCCTAGACTCCAGTTGGTAATTACCAAGTCTTGGAATTACTATTAAGGCCTTACATAATTTCTCTTCATACAGGTAACACTGATCAGTGCTTTTGTTTTCCCTCAACTACCTCCAAAACCGTTGAATATATTCTTTGCTGTCTGCATCTCTTTGAGTAGTATTACTGCCTGCATACTTGTAAGTACTGTTGAGAATTTAACCAGTGTTCTTGAGGGTTTAAGTTGCAATGCATAGGACAAAAATTTTCAGCCTTGGGTCTATACAAAAGGGTATCTCTTAATTATATCCTCATCCTCCCCCTAAAAGTATGTTAGAATTCTCAATAAAATCTGAGTTTTCTCCTAAATCCCAAAGTTGTAACCCCAAAGAGAAACTCTTACTCCCTTGATAGCTAAAAAAAAAAAAAAAGAGAAAAAAAAATTAGTGGGAAGACTTAGGTGGCCAGATATTTTAATTTACTTAATTCATCTTCACTCAAGGACTATATGAGGACCAGCAGTCTTTGGGAAATGCCAGTTACTGCTAAGGGATGAGATAGCACACTCTGGATTGAATTCTAATGATTACAAAATTAGTCTATTTTAATCTACATGTTTGTCTCCCACAGTGGAGGTATTAACACCAAAACCTCCTGGGAAATCTGAAGCTGCAGTTGTAAAAATGTTTGATTTACTGCAAATGTTTGTTTTATGGTAAAGAAACAAAGATGGTGGTGGCTCCTCAGTGTTCAATCATTCATTAGTTGGCTACATTGTTTCATGTTCCTTGAGAGGCAGAATCAAAAGAAAAAACAATTGTTTTGATCTCCGTAGGGCTTAAATCATAATAGTAATTTGCTTATCTGAGTTAAAATTAAAGAGGAGACATCTCCAAGTGTTCTAATTCACTGATCCTGCTATGTACTCCCATGACCTGAAAAAGGACTGGCCCATCGCACTTTGGGAGCTTTCCTGTTCCCCTAGCTTGAAGCCTAAAGTGACTAACAATGAACTAACTTAATCCAGATATACTATGGAAGCCCTATTTTGCAGTCTGAACCAATTGTATGAATCATGAGTCTAAATGTTGTCTTCCTTTCCTGTTAAGTAGTATGTCCAGGTATATGTTCTTGGATAGCTTGCCAGATGACTGGTGGAGTATACAGGTTTGAACATAAAGGAAAGTAAACTGAGAAAGTAGGAATAAGTATGACCTTGGATGTGGAAACTCAGAGTAAGAATTAAATTCTGACTGCACTGGTCTCAGGAATGTAGAGATGTCAGAATATGGAGAATGTCTGTCTCATTTAGGGGAATAAACAAATACTAATGAAATTTGAAATTGGTAGAAAAAATGTTATGTTTTAAATTTTAACTGTTTATAAACTTTAATTCTTCTTTTTTTAGATCTACTGGTATCGACAAGGAGACTTAGAACCAAAATTTAGAAAGCTAATATACTATATCGTATTTTCTATCATCATGTTGTGTATATGTGCAAACCTGTACTTCCATGATGTGGGAAGGTGAGGCTGCCAAGGAGAAGTACTTACCAGGACTCTTCAAAATGATACATTAGGACAGTGAGTAATTTTTGGATAAGGTATGCTGAAGAATCTCCTGCAGAAGTCTGATACATGATTTTCATGTTAATTGTAAATGTAATTCCCTCTTGCAAGGGAGACATAGCCTAGATCACTTTGCTTTTTCTTTAAGGAGCTGACGTTGTACCTAAACATTCCAACCTTTAAAGCTCAAACAGCACAACATTTCACTTTTGAAATGAACATTTTTATAATGTAATTGCACGGCAAAAGGCTATGTAACAAACAAATCTTGCATTTTAAGACAAATATTCTTTTATTTCTGTTAAACTGAATATACAGTTGTTCCCTAGGCAACCGACTTTTGCTTATAACTACAATTTAATTTCACGTTAACAAAACAGACAGTGAAAAGACAACTTTGTGAAGATCTAATTACAATAATAAATAAAATAATTTATACAAGGTTTTTTTTTTCCTTGACTTTTCTATAGGGGTCATATTCATTAAAAAGCCCAAAAGGCTACCTTTGCCTTAACCCTTCTGTAGTATAGGAATGACTCTTAGATTTGTTTCCTTTTGTTATAGAAGCAAATACTGTTTTTTTAAAAATTGCCTGAGATGAGAGGTTATACTATACCCACCACCTAACAAAGTGGATGACAAACTATTTTCTGGGTAATTTATGTTGCAAAACATGTAATAAATGGTCACGGTATCAAGGATAGGTAACATTACTTCCTTCCTCATTTAGTTTTACTTCAAAGTGCTAACTTTGTAAACTAATGACAGTGGTTTCTGAGGGGGTGAAAACTGCTTAGATTTTGGTGGGTTTTGTTACTATGCTTATCCATATTCCCTTTAAAAGTAACAAAAAACCTGTAGTGAATTTTAACTCTTTTAATGCTTTCCTGTTTACCCTGCCTAAATCAGCTCCCACTGCCAGCAATGGGTTAATCAAACGTAACCACCACAAGACCACCTCCTAGGTCTCTGTACTTGTATGCTGGTCAAGTCTCAAACTTAGTCTTCTTGAAGATCAGAAGATCACTGGTAAGCTCTCATGTTGAAATGACTTATCTGAACTACAACCAGGCTTACTTGAAAGGAGACAGTGCCATGTCTGATCTTTAGAGAAACTGTATTTTAAACCACAGCAGTTAAGCTTTCGTGATTCTAAACTTTTCTTCGTGGCTGAAGTGAATGAAATTCCTTATTGCCATGTAACATTAAACATAGGGATTTATGCTTAAAACTCCCAGCCTCCACTCAACTACACACTGTCATAAAACTCAACTTCAGATGATGTATTTAAAGGAGGTAAGAAGTCATAGCAGCAACAATGTGTGGCTTAAGCACTGTGGCTATTTAAATTGGTAAATTAAGCCTCTTGGGGGTTGCTCCTATTTCTTTGAAGATGTTGTAATTAACAGTGTGGCTTCTTTGCTTGAACTGCCTATTTCTAAGAATTATCCTAATGACAGTTTACCAAATCTTCGACATCCTTTGAATCTTCTGAAACAGGACTGCCCAAGGATGATCCAATGATATTTGATTCTTCCTGATGATGTTGGAGTATGGGATCTGTAATGAGTATCCAGTTAGTTTTAAATGTATGTATTTATTCTCTAGTCCACGTCAAGAATTTAAGGTATTCTACCATGGTGTAGAACTTAAGACTAGTAGCTTATTGGATCAAGAAAGACTGAAACAACTGAATTAAATGTCTGATTTTTCCACCTAAAATTTATCAGGCACATAGTAAGTATTATATTACAGTACCTGTTAGTGTTGTCAAAGGCAAGACAGATTCAGTATCTATAACATCAGATGTCTGGATAAAGCCATGTGGTGAAGGAACGATAAGTATTGTTTCATCATCAATTGTTTGATCAACTTGTTCTTCTATAGTGGGAGACTCTAAACCCTAAATAACATTAAAAGAAAAGAGAGATTGACTCATATTCCTTACTAGTCTTCCTTAAAATCCCATGTGTAGGTTAAACAGACTTAAACATGACCCATTTAAAAATCAGAATATAAAATAAAAAGTTAAGGTCTCACAGGGACAAAAGATGACCTCACGATCTAACATACCTTTAACAAAAGGAACTTACAAGGACTGGGTCAGTTATAGGTCAGCTGAATATAATAGAAGAAACAATGCTGTTACAGTGTAGGATGATATTACTAACCACTCACAAGAAAATGCTTCTATGGGTTCTAACAAACATTTCTCAATGTATTGTAGGTAAAGAGGGAAAAGTTTTAGTGAGGAACTATAGTAAGATAGAACATGGTTTTCTTATTCTTCCTGACTGCCACAGATCTCTGCCTGCCTATTTCTGCCAGCAACAACACTGTGAGGTCTGAGGTAGGTTTGAGCTTAATTTCATGAGTCTAAAGAAAAAAGTTTCCCAAACTGCAGGTTTGAGGCTCAAGGCAAGAACCCACTGAGTTGTTCTTTAAGTACAACTTACCTCGGTAACATAAGCACTGGCTAAATCAGGGGGTGATTCCTCTTGTTTAAGGTCGGTGTCAGAAATTTCTTCTTCTGTTCTGACCATAACACTATTCATCAGTTCTGTGCTATTTTGGTCACTGAATTTGGATACATGAGCATCATTAAATGATGGCTCCACAGTCATCTTAGGGTGATGAATTTCATCTGGGAAAGTGTCTGCTTCTAGGGCATCTGGAGGCTCAGGAAAATCAGATGACTGAATATCACTATCTACTGTCAGTTCTGCTTGGGATATGGAAGAAGTGATGTCCTCTGTGGCAACAGTCTGAATGATGACTCTTGGTGTGTGACACTGCACTGTAACATTATCACTTGTGTTCAACAAATGTTCTGGCTATAAAACATTAAAGAACCTGTTAAAGTTGTAAATCAAATGACATTTATGGGGGTACCTCACTGTCTACCCCATCTCTTACCTCTGGAACTGTAAATACTTTTATCACTATTTTTCTACAGCCCTTGTCCTTTACTTGCTAGGGCCTTTGCTCTCCTAATGTCCCTATTCTAATGTATAGCCATCTTACATAAAGAGAAGGGATGAAACATACACTCCAGTGAAGGCAGAGTGATGGTGTATAACACTGTGCCTGGAATAGCAGCAGTGGGAAGAACTGTTTAGATAACTACCTTATATTTTGGTCCTTATCAACTAATCCTGGTCTATAGCAGGTGCTCAAAAATCAAGTAATTTATGTAACATACGGATAAAGCATGAACAATGATCTGTTCAGGAGAAGCAGGAGCAGCAGCTGTCAGGGTTACTGTGGGACTAGCAGTCAGAGTTAGGGGAAGGCCTTGGCTTGAGCTTGTTTGAAGTAGGTAGGTGCCTGGAGTGCCAGTGGGCTGTAGATGGAAAGACTAAAGGAAAAAGAAAAATAAGATAATTTAACAATGATTAAGTCTACTTTTATATACAAAAACAGGGACTGAGTTTAGTTTACTAGACACAAATGTACTTACCCATTGTGAAGCTGCGAACAAGTAATACAGTGTAGGGCATAACTGTCTTAAGTCATTACCTAGCCTGAAAGTTTAAGAGGCTGCTCTTTGCTCCTGTGTACTTCTATGGTCTGGTCTCAGCTATTTGTTTCAGGGCACCAAGACAGTTGTATGAGCCACTGTTTCCAGTGCAGTAACCCTCTTTTTCCTTTCTTTGTAGCACGTAAAAACTGGCAGTCCCCCAGTTTAAAAAAAAAAAAAAGGCACAACAGCAGTGTTTACTTGAACACTTTTTTACCATATACGTTTGGGAAATTTTTCTGTACCCTGTCCCTTTCTGTAAAATAGTAATTAGCAATGTTTTGCTGAAGGAAAAAAGATGTTTATCTGAAAAAGCTAGTTAACTATTAAATAATACATTTTCTTTTGAAATTTTTAAAGGAAGTATAATGAAATTATTGACCAATAAACTTTTCACGACCATAAGCTTCTACATAAAAAATGTGATTTAGGTTTATCTTAATATTCTAAAAAAGTATTTGCACTTAAAATAGGTCTGGGGGTTAAAATCATGTAGCCTGTTTTTCAGTCTTGTGGACTGAGCTAAAACAACTCTCCTGGGTACTAAATCCCCAAATATAGTTTTCCTTATTGCTAAAGTGGAGATGGTAGCTACTTCTCATGGAAAGTGTTTGGGATTAGAAATGATTATGAAAGTGCCTGGAACTCTGTGAGGACTCAATTTCTTTTCTATATTAATCACATATGGTGAGGCATTATTTTAAATACTTTATATGTACATGCATATATGTTTTATTTAATATATTTAACTACATTTAATTTTGACAATTTTTTGAAGCTGGAGTACTATTATCCTGTTAATAATAAGGGAAAGCCTAAATATGGTGACCCCATAAGTTAAAAACCTGAACACATACCTCAGATATGTAGGTGTGTATATATATAGTTTACCAGGGGAATGGGCTTAAAAAGGTGAAAGTTTTCTACCTGTGTCAAATGGTTGTCTTACACATCCCCATTTCAGAGACCACTGGATGAGGAGACTGACTTAGGTTATGTAAGCTGCCAGTAAAAGTTCCAAAGGTGGCCATCCTCTTGGGATTTGGCTGGGGAGAGGATGAATAAACTCTTGCACTAATAACCCTGTGTTCTTCACAGTAAATCTTGATTTAATAAAATTTTTCTTAAGGAAATATGAATTATAGGTTTTTTTTAGAAAGGGCATTCAGTCATGCTCCACTTTCAACCTACACTTTCAGCTGCAGGAAACCACTGATCTACTTTTCGATCTACAAATTTGCCTATTTTGGACATTTCAAATAAAGGGGAGCCAAGTACTATGTGGTATCTTGTGTTGTCTGGTTTCTTTCACTTAGCTTATTTTTCAAGGTTCATCTGTGTTGTACTGTGTTTCAGTATTTCGTTGCTGAGTAATATTTGCATGGCAATTGTACATTTTATTCATTTTTCTGTTGCTAGACATTTTGGTTGTTTAATGCCATGAACATTCATGTACAAGTTTTTACTGGACAGATATTTTCATTTCTCTTAGGTGGATCCTTTGATAACTCTGCTTAACCTCTTCAGAAGCTAAAAACCAGCTACCTTTCCAAAGCAGCTAAAGCTACCTTTCTAAAGCAGCTAAACCACTTAGCACTGGGACTTTGAAATTTTGTATCCCCAGTGGCTAGTACAGTGTTTACTGAATGAATGTTGTTAAATTTCTCATGATTAGTTTGTCCACAAACTTTCTCAAATAACCAATATGAACTTTTTGGTTATAAATTATAACTCAGTACAAGTCCACAGTATGTATATACTTATTAGCACTGTCATTTTCATATATATAACATTTTGGTTTATATACAGATGAGAGAAAAGCTGATTAAAATTATAAAAGTGGAAGTCCGATTTAGTCTACCATTCATTTGGCCTCTGACTTTTGTATTTCATTTGCTTATATGATTTATAAAAGTGATACCAATTGATCTTTCTCATGCATAAAAATGGCCAATATATATGAAGCGTTACTCACTGGAAGAATCTCAAATGTCTGTAGTGTTCCACTGTTTAGTGTTATTGTTTCTGAGTCAACGGTAGCAGCAGGAGAGTCTGTTGAAGCTGTGGTAATAAGGACAACAATAAATGTTTTGTAAATTTAAGTTTCTCTAGTGTACTCAATTATCATAAAGGCAATTTAATATTGAATAATTTGCCTGTAGACCTGAAGTCACTTACATTTCTTATGAGAGATAATGAATTCAATTTGTCTGGGATGGCATATAGTACAGGGGTGGGCTAACTATGGTCCACAAACAAATCCAGCTGATTGCCAGTTTTTGTAAATACAGTTTACTGGAACACAGCCACACCTATTGGTTTATATATTTCCTGTGGTTACTTTAGTACTACAACAGAGTTGAGTACCTGTGACAGACACCAGAAGGTCAATAAAGCCTAAAATATTTACTGTATCTCTTACTTTATAGAAAAGGTTTGCTAACCCTTGGTATACATGATTAAATGTTTCTAATGGTAGGAAGTAAGAGGAACACACTAAGACCAACCTGCAAAAAGACAGGAACTTGGTAAAAACTAATTTTCTTGTACATCTGGGTGAGCAGTATGGATGTCTGGACTGGTAGTCCAAAAATACTAGGCTTTAATCACTTCCTAGCAATATAAACCTGAGTAACTTACTTTATAAACTAATGTTCAGATATTTTTACCTGTCCTGCCTACCTCATACAGTTGTGAGGATCAAAAGTGCTTTTAAACACAAATAAATGTTAAGACAGCATTATTTCAGAAGACCACATTTGGGAGACTGAATAAAGATCAGACAGTATAATCTCTTTACATGTGTGTCAACTGAGGATCAGACTTGATCAACATCTGCTCAAGGTTAAATAGAACATACTAGCAATGTCATCTTTTTTGGTGCTTGCAGTCATACCTATAGGCAAATTATGTGAAATATGGCTTGGAATTGACTTTTAATGTGTTATGTTTATTAAATTCTGTCTATAACACTTCTCAGCTATTTAAAAGGAATCTATTGCCCTTACCAACAGAAATGCACTTGATTCATATTATTCATCTTACTATTTGATGGATCCTTGAGATCATAGCTATAATAATTTGAAGGGGTTCCAGATAAGCTAAATCAATGTTAGCAAACTACTATCAGGGACAAATGTAGCCTAAGGCTAATATGGTTTTTACATTTTCAAAGGGTTGTTTAAAAGCAAAACAAAGACTATCCCTCAGAAACCTATGTAGCCTGCAAAGCCTAAAATATTTACTGTCTCCGGCTCATTACATAAAGAAATTTGCTGATCCCTGTTCCCTAACCTAAAAAACGAAAACGAGATTTTAGTTAGAATGCTACAAGTAATAGGTGGATTGTAGAACACTTGAGAAAATTCTAAACACTATTTTAAAATGCTGCTATCAATATTAAGGTATCATTTATAAAATGTTTGTCTTCCCAATGGGTACCGTCAACTCAATAGCCAAGAAAAACTAACACGCCCAATCAATTTATAACCAATAGCAACTCTCATATTTACTTGGACTAGTAATTTCAGTTGCTTTGCAATCCTCAGACTGAAACAAAAACAAAAAGAAATCCTTCATTCTTGATTACACTGATAACCAAATTCAGATTAGGACTTTAAGGTATGATTAGTTTAAATGTCTCTAAGGTAACTTTGACAGTCAATGTACATAGATACATGGTGTTAAACACCAATATGTGATTCTGTGATTCTCAACCAGGGAATCATAATGGTATATTTAGAAATATGCAGGGTGTTTCTGTTTCTCATGATGACTGGCATATACTACTAACATTCTGTGGGCAAGATCAAAGGACACTGAATATCCTGCAATGTGAAGGAGTCTGCAAAAACCTGTTGCTCAAAATGCCAATAAATCACCTGGTTGAGAATAACATAATGATTGGAATACTCTTGGGTATCTTTTCAAATGTAGATAGCATCATGTAGACCAAAAACAAAAAAGACGAGTGAAGAATATGGTTCTGAGAATTTCATCCTCATTCCTTTTTTTTTGTCACTATAATTCGAGACTGATGGGAAGGGATAAAGATCAATTTGACTTAGATCTAAAGAAAAAAAAAGTTCTCACTCTAACAACGGCTAGGTTTCCATAATCTCATTAAGCACAAAACTGTCAAAAAACAGTTGCCCATAGGAAACTGGCCCTTTACTCCCTGAAGAAAATCATTCTCAACCTTGCCAAAACTCACTTCTTTACCAAACGACCTCAAATCAATCCCCAATTGATATGTCTTCTGGTGAAATTACTACACATGACACACCAGTTGGTAAATTCTATTTCTTTGCTTGACTGACTGCTTTTTAGCTATTTTCTATCATTCATTCTAATTTCTATTTTTAATAATTTCTATTAAGTCATTAATTACAAAATCTAGAAATTAAGATGGTTTCAAATGGTTTATAATGGTTGGGCAACTGCTTATACATCCTTCCTGTCACACATTCAGTGTGCAAATATTAACTGAACTAAACAAAACATTTTTGGATGTCCTTCAGTTCACCTACTTGGGTAAATTTCTATTAACATTCTAGAAGACCAAAAGACATCAGAGCCATTAACTAAATCATATAGATCAAATAGCGGGAATCTTGAAGATCAAACACTTACAAACATGGGTGATCTGGACTGGAATCTGCAATGCTGCCATGGGGCTAGAAGAGATGGCTGTATTATCTTCCAAGCGGGCAACTCTTATCTGAACATGCTGTACACTGGAATTGGTATTACTGTTTGGAACTCCAGATCCTGATTTATTCTCCAAAAGCGTTGGGTTGTTTTTTTGGTTCTCATGTAACTGTTTAAGACCTTTTATTAAGACTGAAGGGAGATGGGTAGACAAAAAGAACATTGATTCTCCGACAGACCACCATCTAAGCAGCAAGGGAGGTGGGGGGAGGTAAGGAGGGAAAGTATTTGGAATAAATAATTGCACACTGGATGTGAGAACTTATAAAAATAAGACATTTTAAAAAACAACATATCCTGAGATTTTTATAAACATTATCCATCGTAACAAATTTTAATTCTTAATATTGTTATTCTTGCCATCTAAGATGTATAATGTTAAAAAAATTAAAAAGGTAGACATTACAAAGAACATGAAAACGAACATTTTCTATTCCTAGGGTGTCTTGATAGAATTATTATTTAGGAAGAATACTGGCAATGCTAAACAGCTTATTTTCATTTTTTAAACGAATAGTGTATATTTTTCCCCCCAGAGCTGAAGGGCCCTTGACTGTTGGTCTAGAGGTAGCAACTGATCTTTTCCAAACAGTAATATGGTATTCCTGCACAGGGAAGCCCATTCTAGACTTTGTTTTGCTCTATTCATAAAATACGCTTATTCTCTGTAACTGGATTTTTTTTTTTTTTTTGAAGACAAGGTCTTGCTCTGTTGCTCAGGCTGGAGTGGCATGATCACAGCTCACTGCAGCCTCGAACCCCTGGGCTCAAGCCATCCTCCTGCCTCAGGCTCTTGTTCCCCAATAGCTGGACTACAAGCACATGCCCACCATGCCTGGCTAATTGGTTTTTATTTTTCTGTAGTAATGGGGTCTTGCTATGTTGCCCAGGTTGGTCTTAAACTTCCAGCCTCAAGTGATCCTCCTGCCTCGGCCTCCCACAGTACTGGGATTATAGGCATGAGCCACCATACCTGACCTATACCTGGGTATTTAATTTTAAAAAACCACATTTTCATCAAGCCAAAGTTACTCAGCATTAAATTTTCCTTTGGAACAATGGAAGTTAAGAGTGTTACAATAAGGGGAATAAATTTAATAACCTAAATTAAACAGACCGCACAACTCAATTTAGTACCTAAATGCAAAACAGGCAACGAAAAGTATGCTATGCTTCACTTTAAGCAAACCCAATTTAAGATACCTAGATTTATATAATAAAATTAGAAAATTACAGAGCCATTGTTCTACAAAATTATAACAGAATTTCTCTAACACGCCTAGTTAAGATATTTGAAATTACACAACTCACAAAAGTTGACTTAAACTTAGGTTTTCAGAAGTATATCTTTGTATAAAATAAAAATATAGTCATCAATCACTTAAGGATGGGGATACGTTCTGAGAAATGAGCCATTAGGTGATTCTGTCATGGAATCATCAGTGTACTTACACAAACCTAGATAGTACAGCCTAGTACACACCTAGGCTAAAGGACCTATATAGTCTATTGCTCCTAGGCTACAAACCCTTACAGCATGTTACTGTACCAAATACTGTAGGCAATTGTAACACAATGGTAAATCTTTGTGTATCTAAACATAGAAAAAAAGTAAAAATACAGTATTTTAATATTGTGAGACCAATACTATGTATGACATCTGTTGTTGACTGAAAGGTTATAAGTGGCCAGCTATGCTGGCTCATGCAGGTAATCCCAGCACATTGGGAAGCCAAGCTGGGAAGATCACTTGAGCCCAGGAGTTGGAGACCAACCTGGGTAACATGGGAAGACCGCATCTCTACAAAAAAAAAAATTAGCTGGGCATGGTGGCATGTGCCTATAATCATAGCTATTCAGGAGGCTGAGGTGGGAGGATCACTTGAGTCCACAGGTTTGAGGTTACAGTGAGCTATGATCACACCACTGCACATCAGCCTGGGTAAGAGCTAGACCCTGTCTCTAAAAACATAAAAATTAAATCGTTATGTGGCATGACTGTATATGCAGATTTTATTTCCTCCTGATAGTTTACAGAGAACAAGAATGAGTATAAGTGTGTACATTTTCATTTTAGGGGCTTTAGGAATTACAAACAGCAGTAATTCTTCTCTGGGGAAGAAAACAATTATTGAGAGAAACAGGGCAGAAGTGTAAGTAGAAATCTGCTATGATCTCTCTTTAGCTGGGGCAGAGAACTTCTAACCTCTCACTCCTAAGGAGTAAATATGGCAAGAAAAGGGGAGGAGCTTAAAAAGCAAGTAATACATTACCAGGGAACGAAACATCCTTATGGTTTGCAATTTGCCTTTTGATGGTCCACCATTTACTTCGTAGCCATTGTGGTGAACGGACACTACTCCATCCCTCAGCTAACAGATCCCAGTTAATGTCATTTTCATCAGCTACATCAAGTTCTGCTATCCTACAGTTACAAAATAAGCATCTGTTAGACATTACATTAATTTCTCTATAAGAACCCCTCCTCTGACTATAGGTGATTACGCTGGCAAATAAAGGGAATGGCAGGTTATGGCAATGAGATGCTATTGTTAAGTTGCACGGGAAAGGACTCCAGGAGTGCAGATCTGCTTTCAGAGCTAACAGCTAAGAAATACCAACAGCAACAGCCTTTAGTTAAAGGTACAACCAATGGGCTAAACCATAAATGGTTAGAACCAGGTGAGGCACTGTGAAGGAAAAGGGGTATGGTAAAGGTTAGAATAAGAACAGATTTAGTTGTATAGTGTTCTGCAATGTTTCATAGTGTGGCATTTACTAAGTCATTTATTTCCTGGATCTGAGTGTTTCCACTGTTAAGCAAAAATATTTAGAAATGAGCTATTTATAAAGATGACTAGTTGAAGAAAAAAAAAACAATCCAGTCTAAAAAATAAACAAAACCCCCCACAAAAATCCAAAACAAAATAACACAAAAACAGTAGCTGCAATCAAAAACCAACACACTAGTACAACAAAATTTGAGGTTTAAAAAAATCTGTTCATTTTCTAGCTTTGTTGTGATTTGATTTTCAGTAGGGAGTAGCCATGGTGACAGTCTCTATTACTTCAGAGTCTTAAACTATTTCTTGCTATTTCTTGCTAGTATTTTTGCCCATTTTATTTTAGTTAATGAGTCTTAATGGTTAAACCAACTACTTTTTTAAAAAAGCTGGGATTATGATATCTTAAAGATTTTTCGAATTTGTATGAAACGGATGTGTTTGATTTGGTCTACTTTGAAGGTGTGGAGGTAACTACAGACTGGGCCCCCTTCTTGGAAATCTTAGCACAGTAGCCAAGAATTGAAGGGCGTGGAGACTGAACAGCCATCTTATCCTAAACGTGTTCCCCTTATAGGACTGAGGCACATTGGTGGGACAGTGGAAAAGCTGCACTGCCTCTGCCTGTGCCATACCTGTTCTGTGGATATAGAGAGGACTTCAGTCTCCACGCCTTCAATCTGGTACTTTGCACGAGCACTAAATCCACTAAAAGAAAAGGAACACAAAACAAAACAAAAAAAGAGCTCAATATGGAATACGTAAGATGTTAAACAGTAGTGCTCTATGGAAAGGATACTTTTCAGACACTAGGCATCTAGGGAAACCAAAAGAGGAAAGTCTATCAAGACATCCACAGCAATTAAGTGGTTTTTTCATTACAAGATTCAGGACACAAACCTGAGGATGAGATTGATTTCATCTTCCTTGGTCCATTCAGTACCTCCACTCTGTTTCCAATTCAGGTAGTTGAGCCATTTAGAACGACATTGCTTTTCTGAGCGGGTACCCACTCGTTCAGCCACAGCTGCCCAAGATACACCCTGTGTGACTATGTCACCTGGCTCAGTGCTTGTCAACTCATGAACCACTTCTGCGAGTCTCTTTTCTTCTTCTTCTGTCCACTTCCCTGAAAGAAGGAAATCATCCAGACTACCACTGCTAACTTCTTTTACAAATCTGATTCAGCCCTGTATTTACAAGGACGGATGGGAAATATGCAGTAGTACTAAGAGTTTGTTTCTGAATGACCCTCTGGTGGAAAACCATATATACCCGCTAAGACAGTTTCATTTTACTAGCTCAGAGAGGGTCTCAGTAGAAAAGAAACTGAAGAATCCTATGGAAAGCACTCACCAATTATGAAAAGAAAAACCACCCAAAACATAACTACAAAGAAGAATGTATTCTCAAGTTACACTAAGTCCTTTATAAACCGTGAAGTGGGAAGACCTTCATCAATGGCTGACAGACAAGAAATGGCATGCTTTTTTTCTTACTCTCACCTAAGATTCCCTGCTCTGCAAAAGTAGAGTAAGTTCAAGAGGCCATTACTTATAGGAATGAATGATGAGACACTAGGGAAATAATACCAATGGGCTCAACCTATTTTAGTAAAAACTAGGTTTCTACCATCTTGTTTCCCCACTATCCCAACTCCAAGCTACTGTGATGAAATATTAGTAAAGTCTGATACAAGTATTTATATTTATTTTTATTCCTGTGTTTTCTCAACCCATAAACCCACTAATAGATAATCCCAAATGTTCCTCTCAGTCTTTTTCTTATGGAGCTAGAGCAGAAACACAGGGAACAAAGAGAACCACTTTTTTTCATCTTCTTTACCTCTGTTTCTGTTTTGTTATTACTAGTTAAAAACCTCTAGAAAATTTCAAAAAGACTGTGCTTGCTTTGGCATTCCATTCATCCAGCAAATGTTTATTGAATTTTCATTATATGCTAAGCACAGTTATGAATACTCTGGATGGATTCAAGATGAAGTCCTACTCTTCTATTCTAGCATGGTGTTAAAGGATGGGACCACTTTGAGACTGTGCTGTTTCATGGCGTGGCCTCAACAGCAGCTGTATGTCACAACATGAGAAGGAAACAGGCAGATCTATCAATCCCTCAGGCTGGGAATCAGGAAATGCCACTGTGTCCTTCCAAATTATGTTACCAAAAGTGGTTCTGTACTCACAGCATCTTACATGAACCTCTGAGATCCTATTCTAAATCTAAAGCTTACAGCCCTGCTTCTTTCATTAAACTAGCCATGTCACAGAATGACAAAGCTGGTAGGACGTATGTTCTCACTGCTCTGCAGGTAACAGTTCTGATTTCATTTTAGTAGAGCAAGGGGTTAAGGACAAAATGTATATGCCCTAGAAGCTAAAGCTAAACTTCAGAACTTTTTTTTTTTTTTTTTAATTGAAACAGTGGGCATGGATTACGGATGCTTCAGAGAACATTATGGCTGAAAGGGCACTATGAGACCATCTACTCTAATCTCTTTATTTTACAGAGGGAAGTGAGGCTCAGAAAGGTTAAATGACAGTTAAATGGCGGAGCCTAAATACGTTGTTGGTCGCAAAGATTAGGTTTAACAATATGACTAGGACATTTGTATGCATTAAGAGGCATTTGTGGTCTTGCCAGGGGACTGAAACACCAATCATAAATTTTTTCTATGGAAAAATATAGTTTGAGTTTAAAATAAGCAAAATACGTACAAATCTTTGGAACACAGCTTCTTCCTAATTTGGGACTTACCTGTGACTACAGTTTTTCATAAACACTCACTGATTAGCTGTTGCTAATGTAAATTCAACAGTTAGATGGGCCTAAATTAAAATTACTCGCTGCATGTATGTCTTCAAAATACTTTCTCAACTGGGGAAGTATTGAAATTGCTACAAAACTGAAACATGTCAGATCCGAATCATCTTGACACTAAGGTGATGTTGTGTCCCTGAAGACAATGTTACCTTTTACAAAAACAAAGTAAAAGATTAGTTTGATGTATCTAATAAGCTCAAGTAAAAGAAGACTAGAAAATAAAGTCTGAACTAAGGTGAATGATCTAAATCGCTCCCCCAGAACAAAGAAAAGACAGTATCCTAAGGGGCAGGAGGAGGCTTAAGTGGTGATAAGAAAACGCTACCAGGAGCAGTCACAGTACCTGTGTTGCAAGTATCCTTCATCAGTCGGCACCGATCTTTGACAGAAGATGCACTTCTTCCTAGCGCCGCCCCTATTGTTGCCCAGTCATTGCCATGCTTTATCCGGAGCCTAAAACAAGAGTCTGCCAATCAGCATTTGGTTCAATTGTTTTCTCCCTTTTAATTTCATCATTTATTCTTCATTCTTCTTCTTCCCATTTGACTGGTTTGGAAGTTGTGGGCAGCAATACTTTGAGAGCCAAAGTTTGAAAGTGTGGCCTTTTTTTGGGGTCCACAGTTGTCTGTGGGTGAAAAAAAAACAGGCAGCAATTGCCTTTTTCCTGGGTCAGAGAAGAAATAAGTAACTTGGATATGTGTTCAAAAAAGACCAATTTCCCCTCAGGTTACTGACACAATCTCCCAGGCAAGCCCCAGACTTTCCCTTTTGAGCATATACCCAACAAACTCTTCTTTAGACATCTAAAAAAGTTTCACAGGCTTTTAACAGATTATAAACAGAATCTACCTTCAAATTTTTTCATGATCCATACAATTCATTAAACCATACGTTAAGGCCTAACTCAATAAAGCAAAATTCTATTTCCTGAGATTCAATAGTCTTTGCAAAGTTGAGTCAGCCCAGATATTCACTGAAACATTTGCCAAGTCACCATTCTAAACTGAGCCATGTAGCACAACCCTGGTTTTGATCCTGGTATATAAATTCCCCAAATTTAGTCTTCAGGCCACCAAAAATGGCCCCTTAATCTTTTCTGGAACCCCTATTAGTGGTCTGAGGAAGCATCTGGTGAATGGCAACAGGAGACCAGATTTATACATTATGACAATAGTTATTTTGTGCAAGTATGGATTTGATGTGATCTTTTTAAGGCCAATCATGCTTAACAGGAGAATTCAATTATACCAGTCTGCCAAAAACCTCTTGAAATTTTCAAAGTAAAACTTTTAAGGACGTAAGACATTTTAAAAAAAAATAGAATGAAAAAAACTTTAAAACTTACTCCTTGAGCTTCTCAATTTCTTCAGGTGTATATCTAGAAATTCAGAGAAATTTTTAAAAAATCAATTAAAACAATGAATGCTAAAAACCTTAATAAAAATCAGAATTTCATTTAGGGAGCTGAATGTTAAGTCACTTAGCATATGATAATACTTTCAAAGTAACCCATTTTAAAGTGGATTAATAAAAGTTGAGAATAGGCAGGGTGTGGTGGCTCAGGCCTACAATCCCATCACTTTGGGAGGCCAAGGCAGGCGGATCACCTGAGGCAAGGAGTTAGGGACCAGCCTGGCCAACATGGCAAAACCCCATCTCTACCAAAAATAGAAAAGTGAGCTGGGCGTGGTGGCGGGCGCCTGTAATCCCAGCTACTAGGGTGGCTGAGACAGGAGAATAGCTTGAACTCACGAGGCAGATGTTGCAGTGAGCCAAGATCATCATGCCACTGTACTCCAGCCTGGGCGACAGAGACTCTGTCTCCAAAAAAAAAAAAAAAAAAAAGTTGAAAATAAATGCTTCTATTTATATTTTTTTAAACAGTAAATATTTTTAGTTATAATAAAGGTAAGGATTGTATCATTTTCTCCAGAAAAAAAAATCAACATTTAAAACAAACATTCGCTCCTATGCTGTCTAACACTTCCTTTATTTCAAACTTAGATTTTGGCACTCTCAAATCGTAACTATTCCAAAAAAACTTATGGGTGACATTGTAAACTAGAGCTAAAAAGAAAATCTAAAAACAAAAAAAGTCTACAGAAAATTCTCTCAAAGCACTGAAAAAATTAAAATTATCTTTATTTCCTTTACCCAGGTATGGACATCTGACATACTCTTGCTCTTTATTTCAGTAGGCAAGTACTCAATACAGCCAATGTAATGTTCTTTTAAAAAATGTCCATTTAATAACTATGAAAGTCTGCTCACTTTGTAACCATTTGTAATGCATGGAAAGTTTATGAATAGTTAACAAGTCATTTATGCTTCATTTACAATTTTTTCTCTTTTTCCACTGTCACAAAAACATAATTTAATCCTCTTCAGCTTTCAAATGTATTTTCATTAGCAGGCTGCTGAAGAGCTAGAGAAAGAGCTCCACCATTAGCTCAGCAGTACCTAATAAGCCATACTACTGCCACCTAAAATTTCCAAAGAGAAATTAAAAATATGTCAGTAACAATATACAATCACTGCATTTGAAGAATCTTAATGATGCCTTCCCATAAATGCTACCTAAAACAGAAATCCATGCATTGTTTTCAGAAATGTAGTTCTTTTCCATTCTGCATTTAAAAAAAAAAAAAAAAAGGCCACTGACCTAGGAATGCTATATTCTAAAAACAAATAGGAAAAATGTTACCAATAAATTTCAAGTTATTTTCACACTTCTTAAATCTTTAATCAGTACTGTACTTTTTATGTTACTTTACTACAAAGCAGACTTTGACATATTAAGTAAGCCAAGTCTTAAATCTAACCTATATAAAGTGAATTAGATCCTAATTTCTAAAAGAGGCTTTAATAATAAGGTTTCACCATATTCACAACATGGACCTGGAAGATAAAAATATTAACAATAATTCATAGCTGTCTTCAATTAATACCTTGACCATAATTCTATTTTTTTTAAAAATGGACAGTTCCTCAAATATTACCCCTAATTACATGAAAACATGCAGCATTACAAGTTTTCATACTTTCCCACATGGTTTCTGTCATCATACATGCGAAGCACTCTTCTATAAACTGCAAACAAAGGCCGGTTCAGACCCCATGCTATAGTCCTGTAGAAATCTTTTCTTTCGTCTTTTGACATCTCAAAGATGATTTCTGTAGCATCTTTTATTCCGCGTGCCTAAATGGGTTACATTTCTTTGATTTAGGGATTTCTGATAAAATGCATATGGATATACTATGCTTTTAAAATATCACTAATTCATTAATAAATCAAATATAAACTTTTAAGGTGTTGCAAGACATAAAAAAATGACACTTAAATGTTCCAAGAATAAACTATCAAATTCAATAAATTCAATTTGTCAACTCTTTTACAATTACAAAAGGTTAAAAATAGATCTAAAGAAAGTAGAAGGAAGCAAATCACAAGAGCAAAATCAATGGAATCCAGAATCAAAAGGATAAACTAATCTAGAAATTGGTTCTTTGAAAACATCCATTAAGATTAATAAAATTTGAAATGATTAAAGTTCTGCCAAAAAAAAAAAAAATGACACAAACAATATTAGCAATGGGAAAATGGGGCCTAAGTAGAGATGCTGCAGAGATTAGACCATTAACAAAGTAACATTATGAACAATTTTATGGTCATAAATTTAAATTTTGGTAAAATGAATAAATTCCTAGAAGACATCAAACATCAACTTACCAAAACTGACTCTGGAAGAGACAGAAAATCAAATAGGCACAGACCATCAAGAAAATCTAATCAGTTATTAAATAATCTTCCCACAATAAAAACAGTAGGCCCACATGACACAGATGACATTATAGGTAAATCCTACCAAATAGACACATAATCCTGTCCTTAAACTATTCAAAAGTTAAAAAAAAAAAAAGTGGGTACATTTCTTTGCTTATTTTGTCAGGCTAGCATAATCTTAATAGTGAAACCAGAGGAGGACAGTTTCAGAAAAGAATTTTCAGGTCAAACTCATTCACTAACATAGATCTCCTAATAATATTTTAGCACACTGAACCCAGCAATGTATAAAAACATTAGTATGTCCAGGTAGAAAAGTGAATTTATCCCAGGAATACAAGTTTGTGTTAATTTCAGGAAAATTATTAATGTAATTAATCACATCAGCAGATTTATGGAAAAAATGTAAAATCTCAACAGATGTGGGAAAAGCATTCATAAAATTCAGTATTCATATATGTATATCTTACCAAATTAGGATTCACTGATAATCAGATTTTTTAAAAAACCAAAATTATAAAGATTAGAAAAGAGGAATCACTTGTAATATATAGGTAGAAACACAAAAAAATCTATGAAAAAAATTATGTGATTTAAAAAAGAACTAATTTTAGCAAGGTTGCTAGATACAAAATCAAAATGCAGTTATTTGCGTTTCTACTCAAAGTTTACAAAACATTTTTAAAAGTTCCCACACGGCATCAAAATTAAGAGTATCAGAACTTAGGCAAGTTATCAATGTCCTTTATGGAGGAAAATATAAAACCTGACATTGAGGAGGAACTAAGAGCTATACCATGTTTTTCAACAGGAAGATGACATACTGTGAAGATATTACTTCCCCCCAAATCAATACAAATTCAATGCCATCCAATAAAAACTCCATTTGAATGTTTCACACTCTGTAAGCTGATTTTAAATTTATAACAAAAGAGCAAAGGGCCAAGAATAGCTAAGACATTTATGAAGACACTTGCCCCATTGGATATTGGGACTTCTGAAGACGGCACTGTACTGGTGCAGGTATCAACAAATAGAACCTGAAAACAAATTAGAAAACCTAGAAACAAATTTGTGGCAGCTTGATTTAGAACAGAATGGACACTGTAAGTTAGGAATTAGACATCTATACAGAAAGAGATACAACTGAAATTATAACTCACACCTACAGCCATGAAATGCAGAATTATAAAACTTTTACAAGATAATGTGAGAATGTCTTCATGCCCTTGAGGCAGGGAAGGATTTCTTAAGCAAGCATGCATGCAAAACAAACAAAAAAGATGATACACTTGATACTGCAGTTAAAAATTTTTTATCAAATGACACCTAAAGAGAAGGAAAAGACAGGCCACTAAATTGGGACAATTTTGTATCTGTAATACAAATGACCAATAAACCATTAGTACCCAGCATACATTAAGAAAGTCTAAGTTAAACAAAACAGTTAACGCCACAGAAAAACTGGTGAAAGACACAGGAATTTCAAAGAAGAAACACAAATAGCCAATAAGCATATCAAAATGTTATCAGAGAAACAAATTAAAATCATAATTAACACCCATTAGATTTGTACAAATGAATAGCAAAAAACTAAAAGAACCCAAATGACCATTAACTGTGAAATGGGTAACCTGCACATTTGCACGATGAAATACACCTAAATAAAAGGGTAAGGATATTAAAATAATAATGAGTTACAGAATATCCACAGAATTAATCTATTTATATAAATTTCAAAAACAGGTGAAATCACAGTATATGCATTTTATATACTTTTGAATGTATGAAACTTCACAGCAAAAAATTTCTACATTTCAGAATGTTTTCTAAAATTCCTTCACTTATGCAGTTCCAATTTTGCCAGTGATTCAACCTAAATATTTACTGATCTACTACATGCAAGCACACTGTGTTGCAGGATGACCATACAGTGAGATAAAAGATTATTCTGCCTCCACACTCTTTGCCCTTTTTCTTGCTTGTGGAAGTTACTTTCATTTATCCTTTTAACCCAAATATGAAACATATGACATCCAACTAATTGGAACTCTCTGAAGTTTAAAACTGGCTCTACAGAAGTCTTAGAAGAGCACCACATAATAAAAGCTATGGTCAAAAACCCAAATTGAACAAATTATCTTTTTTCAAGATAATCTTTTGAACATTTCCTATTTCTGCCAATCTGATCATCATTCTCCCGATCACCTAAAATAAAAACTCTTAAGTTGCTCTAACTCCTTTTCCTTCTTTTCCAACATTCAGTTCAGGCATCCTTGCAGATACTTGGTTATCTGCCCTTTCTCTATCAATTCTATTTCTACCACTGTAGTTTAAGTCCTTTGCCACTATCAGTTGGGCTACTGAAACAGTCCTCTAAAAGGTCTCAAATCCTACTCACACTCCTGCCCATTAATCACTAACTTGGAAGGGTCCTCGGAGATGATCTACTTTAATCCCCTAGACAAGGAACTAGCTTAATTCTCAAAGTTCAGTGTTCCTTAGCACTGATTACTGCTTTATCTAAACTAGTAGCATTTTCCAGGATTAACTGAAGCATATGTGACTAGTGGACAACTTAAATACACTTCTGGATTCATTTTCAATGGCCAATGTATTTGTTTCTCTTAAAACAACAAACATGGTGGAAGGATCCCATTTATTAGTGAAGAATTAGAAGTTTTAAAATTCTATATTTCAAAAAGCTTAGCTTGGGAAAGTTGCAGTTAAAATTAAAATTTAAAATGTGGACCTTCTATCTAGGCAGCATTGTATTTCTACATTAGTGTTGAGTGGAAAATTTAAAGTAAGCAGTCAATATATCAAACGATATGAGAATGGTTAAACACTGTATACCATCCTTCCCCAAATGATGCTGATGGTCTACATTTCAGACATAACACTATTTGAATCTAACTCCATTACAGAAATGGTCAGCAAGTCTCTGGAAAGATTTCCTTGAGAATACAGATCTACCCCACGAATTCCTTACTCAACTAAACTACTAGCTTTTCTTAAACCCTTTAATGCTTCTCATCTGCTATAGGATAAAGTTCAAATTCTTTGGCATGGACTTCAGAGCCCAGTTTTCCAGAGGCTATTTATCTCAGTTCAAGGTAAAGGGGTTAATTTAATGTGCGTTGGTTTTGATCTTTGATTTCTTGCTGCTTCAGCTTGTATTCATGTAGTTCCCTCCAATTCTACTCTAGCCCAAGTACCATTCTTTAAGACAGCTCAAATCCTTTTTCTTCCAAAATTTTCCATAACTGCTCTAAAAACTCTTCTTTCTGTAAACTTGTACAGAATTCACATGTATCATTCACATGATACAAGGCTTTGTATCACTCTTCACCTGTTTCCAGCCTGCCCAAATGGATCACTGACTTCAAAAGCAAACACTGTTAAAGCAATCCATGCCTTAACACAATCCAAAGCCTTAAAAATATTGTGTTCAAAAGACATTTAATGAAGAGTACTAAGCTAACAAGAAATAAACCTGAATAAGAAAATAAACTAAATTTTTGATTTTTTTTAAAAGGGAAAGACTACTATGACATCAAAAATTCATTCAAAGATGCATACTTTAGCTGGGCGTGGTGGCTCATGCCTGTAATCCCAACACTTTGGGAGGCCGAGATGGGCGGATCACCTGAGGTCAGCAGTTTGCGACCAGCCTGGCCAACATGGTGAAACCCTGTCTCTACTAAAAATACAAAAATTAGCCGTGCGTGGTGGTGCATGCCTGTAATCCCAGCTACTCAAGAGGCTGAGGCAGGAGAATAGCTGGAGCCCAAGAGACGGAGGTTGCAGTGAGCTGAGATTGTGCCACTGTACTCCAGCCTGGGCAACAGAGCAAGACTCTGTCTCGAAAAAATAAGAACAAAAACAAAACAAAGAAAGATGCATACTTTAAGCTTTTAAACAATATAAATTAAACTATATAGCCTTCTTGAAAAGATAAGACTTTAAAATGTTGAGAGGCTACTAACATTTTATCTAAACTTTAGGGTGGCAACTAAAGTAGTAAAGCGATTTTAAACTGAGAATTCAAAATATTATTATACTATAATAATGTATTTTAGAATTACTCAGCTACAATATGTTAGCCATTACAAAAATCCATTACAAAAATAAGTAAAAAGTTAATAAGTACATACAACATACAGTGCCGGTATTTCTGCAACTGGCAATAAACAAATTAGTGAAACATAAAAATATGCCATAAGATACCTTTAGATAGCGTTCAATATTGTTCATCAAAATATCAATTTCTTCCTTGGACCACATCCCCTGCTTCCACTTATGCCCTTTAAAAGAAAACAAGTAATGTTAAAAAAAAAAAAAAGTTACTCTTTGAAAGAAATAAAACACCAAAGATTCCTTTGTGATTATATTTGGGGATAAAATTTAGCTAATTTCATTTCTCATTCCTCTGAAATCTGAAAGGTCTCTAGGTTAAACTTGCTTTTGTAACTTCCGGATTTTAAGCTATAGTACATTTATTTGACCCTACTAAAAAAAGACAATGATAATTAAAAGATTTTTAAAAAATTACCTCTCTTAGCCTTTCAACAATATAGAACTGCTAAAAAGAAACATAAAAGTAAAAAAAGCCAAATCATGCTCAAAACTTTTTGAAAAATTTCTCCAGTGAAAATTGTATGGGCAAAAAGAACATATACAAATGTTGGGAGCAAGCATCCCAAAATCTGGCCATAAACTGGCCCCAACACTGGCCATAAACAAAATCTCTGCAGCACTGTAACATGTTCATAATGGCCCTAACACAAAAGCTAGAAGGTTGTGGGTTTACACACACAACTGCTGCAGTTAACTAGCCCAATCTATTCCTTTAATTTGGCCCATCCCTTCATTTCCCATAAGGGATACTTTTAGTTAATTTAATATCTATAGAAACAACGTTGATGAGTGGTTTGCTGTTAATAAATATGTGGGTAAATCTCTGTTCAGGGCTCTCAGCTCTGAAGGCTGTCAGACCCCTGATTTCCCACTTTACACCTCTTATATTTCTGTATGTGTGTCTTTAATTCCTCTAGGGCTGCTGGGTTAGGGTATCCCGGACTCTAGGGCAAGGTAAATATTGAATAACAAGTGAATAATGTATTCTTAAAGAGTATTTACTATACAGTGGTTGAAAATGATTTACATTTTTCTGCTTCCTTTCTGTACTTCACAGTGGCACACACACAACGCTCACTTTTTTTGTAGCACCTTCCCCAGCTATGCTTGAGCATAGCCAACACTATAAACACTACGTTTAAGGCTTAAGGTAGCCTCTAGGTCGCTTATCAGACCATAGTAGGCCCTTGAAAAGGCTTGAGTTCCTACTCTCATAAGCAATAACTATCTTGTCTTAAATGCCACCACTATGCATTTGTTCAAAAAATTAACAAGACAAAATTTACTTCAAATCAGAAGGAGAAAAATAATTATTAATTACTGAACAACAAATGGTGGTTTCACAACCTTAATTCAAAGTCATTTGGGGCCAAATTTAATTCAGTTAGAAAAGCTCAATTACTCTAACTGCTCAATCCTAATGATGAAGGTCCAACTCAGAATCTTGATGACTATAAGCCCTTTCTATCTCCATTTTTTTCCACTGGGCACTAAAATTCACAGTATATCTTACCTTTATTAGTCAGAGAATCCTTATCTTCTTTAGTTGTAAACCATGCTTGGCTAACTGCTGAAACTTCCTCATTACCCAAGGGAGATATTTCATCTAGTTGCTCATTCTGCAAAATCTTGTAAAAGTAAAAAAAAAAAAAAGTGGCAGCTTGATTTAATGCCCAACCTGATTCATCTTTGTAATCCTAAGCATTATAAAACTTAAATATAGTCATACGGAATTCACTTGTTTTAGATATAGTAAAAATATATTCAATTTACAAAAAAAATTTCTTGCTATTTTTATTATGGCAGTATGAAAACACAATTATATGCATTAACATAATATGACCTTCATTTAAGCAAGTAAGTGTACTACTGGCTTCAGTTTTATATAAAATGGGCCAAGAGTCTATTAAGTATTTAAATCAACATAGAATACTCAGGGAAATTTAAATATTTACACATGTAAATAAGCTCAATAATATACAATATACAGTTATCTGTTCTAGATAGGAAAATGGAAGTGCTAGGGTTGGGTGTTATGATTTGTTAATGCCCTCAGAGATAAGCTTGCTGCCTAAATCACCAATAATGTAATCTCAACTTAAAAGATTAACAGGCTAAATCATAAGTCATTATTGCAAAATCATGGTCTGCTTATTGTTTTCTGACAACTTTGTTTTAGACAACCTCTAGAGCCTTATTAATGTACCTTTCTCTCAAAGAACTGTATGGTACTACTTATTCTTAATGCAGTTAAGTCTTCTGTGCAACCACCACCATCTATATTTTTAGTTACAAGCATATCTAACTTAACAAATTCTGCAGGGGAAAAAGCTGCCTTTGGCAGAGTTGACCCTGGCCTAAAGAGAACCATAATGTAAATGAGGAAGACCTGGCAACAGTGCTACCGTATCAGATATTAGCCTATCATAGACAGAATAAGGGAAGAGTCACATGTTTAGTGACCACTCAACCCAATTCAGTCCCTGGGCTAAAAAAAAAAACTAAGCAATGTTACTGGCTGAAGGTAAATCCTAAGAAGGACTGAACTACTACTTCTTGAATAAACAGAAACTGAACTTCTAATATGAAGAGAAACTGAAACCCATCTCTCTTGGAAAGAGATAAGCTGTCCTCATCTCTTTTGGAAAAAGATAAGCTGTCAGTGGACAACCAAGGTACAATTAGGAGAAAAGTCACATTTCTATTGTTGCCTACTACTTTATTTTTGTATCTGGTGGTAATATATATAGTGTGTTTATGGAAGTGCTTTTGAATCCATGGGCAAAAAGCTGGAAATCACTGGAACAAGTGTGAATAAGTTTTATAGCCCTCTATTTATGTGTCATACTTTTTGATTTTTTAAATCAAGAAGGACCTGTATAAAGCTAAGAATTGAGACAAACTATATGTGTCTAAGGTTCTTACATTCTGAAGATCACAATTTTATAAGATTTGATCCTGGAGTTATATATCAGTAAAGAGTATAACAGAGAGCTATCAAAAGACCTTGATACATGCAATACTCAGTTTTAAGAACTATAATGTAGAAAATACTCTTAAATTATCTTCTCTTAATCAGTTGGATATGAGAATCAAATCACCATTTCTCAAAGTATGTCTATATAGCAAAGCCCATTCCATGAACCTTAGGAATAAGTCTGTTATGCTGATTAACCACTATTTGGGGGCAAACATTTAATGCCTTATGGCCCAAATCGTCCCTCAAATGAACAAATAATTATTAAGCAGTAGCAGTAGTATTCAACACCATCAATAATAAATGAGTTTAGTGAGTACAGCAGGAGACTTAGGTACCTTGAAGGGTACCTATCTATACTTGATATATAAATAAGTCTTAGAGTATTTTACCCCCATTTTTCACTACTTTATGCATCTATTAAGTTTCCTCAGCTTTATTTAGTATGCTGCTGCTTTTAAAATGAAGCTTTTATGAGTTGGTTGCAGGATTTCATGCCTATAATATATATAAGGCTTAGAAACCTAGAATATTCAGCTCATTGAAGCCTCTTGCAACCACAAAGTACTACATACATAGGGACTTACAATAGTTTCTAATTATTTTTCAAGCTAGTCTCATCACTGAAATGAGACACAGTACATTAACTACCAAACTATGTCAAAATAGCTGCACCTGGTTTACAGCAAAGATACAGTAAGAAACAGACTATTTCTGAACTTTTTAACTATGCTGACTTTCAACTCACATCTTGTTCATTTTGTGTCTAAAGTTAATCTTATTAAACAAATATTAGCAATTATTAGAAAAGTTTTTTGTTCACTAAAATGGTGATAGCAACCCAAAAGGTTAAATATTAAATTATAACTCATTAACTCTTTGGCAGTAATCAAAACAAAAGAGCTTTGTAATTTGTTTCATAATAAGGGCCAAAACAGTGGCGTGTGCCTGTAGTCCTCGCTACTTAGGAGGCTGAGGTTTCTCATCATTTTATCTGCTAACCAATGTGTCAAGGAACATTCTCCTGAGGACAGTTAAAAGATTTACTATACCTGGATCTGTGTCACAGTCCCCTCAGTAACCTCATCATCTGCTACCTCTGTGGTCGCAGTCATGGTCACCTCAAAGCTCTGATCATTTTCTGAAACTTAAAGAAAAGGAACAGTTCATCTCCAGAATAATAATGGCAAGTTTTAATTGTTCTAAAAATATCCATGGGAAAAAAACACGATCATCTAATTTCCTAACAAACTACTTGTTAATACATCTTCACATGTATATATTCATTTGTTTATTAATAGTTAATGAGAACCTAATTCATAGTAGATACTGCTCTGGGTGCGGGGGATACAACAGTGAGCAAGGGAAACAAAAATCATTTCTTCATGGAGCCTATATTCTAGTGGGGAAAGACACAAAATGGCCAGATACTACATTGGATGGTGATTAGTAGTGAGAAAAAATAAAACAGGAAAGGGAATCTGTTGGGGTGGAGGACAGTATTTGAAATTTTCTATAGGAGGCTGGGAAAAGTGACCAAGACTTGGAACAAGTGAGGATGGAAGCTAGTTTTGCAGGAATCTCAAGGAAGAGCATTTCAAGGAGAGCCAAGTGCAAAGGCTCTGAGACGGGGCATGCTTGGAGTGTTCATGAGAATGGCAAGGAGGTCAGTGTAGCTAAAGCAGACTAAACAAGAACAGTAGGAGATTGTGTGGGGCCTTGTAAGCCAAAAGGTTTTGGTTTTAACTCTTAGGTGGGAAACAACTGGAAGATTTTGAATAGAGGAATAATATAATCTTTTATTTTAACAGACTCACTCTGTGCTATCAGAAAAACCATCTGAAGCGCAAATGCAATAAAGATAGGTCAGTGGCTTGGACTAGGGTGAAGGCAAGTGAGAATGGCTAGTAGTTCAAATTGTGAATGTATTCTGGATGGCAAAGCCACTATGATTTGTAGACAAAGAGGAGATGGAAGAGACTGAAGAGCCAAGGATAATATTACATTTTTTTTAAAAAAAATCAAAACTACTGGAAGAATACACCTGCTACTAATTAGTTGAGAAGACTGTAAAATAAGCAAATTTAAGGATTTAGGAAGTTATAGAACCTCTGCTTTAAACACACTAGTTTGAGACAACTACTAAATATTTAGAGAATGAGAAGTCTGGTCTGGAATAAATCTGGGGTGGTTAACACCAGATAGTATTTGAAACCTTAAGTTGAGATCACCTAAAAAGTGAGTAAACAAAGAAGCAGTCTAAGGACTTAGTTCTGGGGTGCTCCACATTTAGAGGTTCTGGTGACATGGAAAAGTCAGCAGTAGAGACTGAGAAGAAATGGACAGAAAAATAGAAAGAAAACCAGAGGAATATTTTCTATAGGCCAAGTGAAAACGTTTCAGGGAGAAGGGAGTAATAAATATTGTCAAACGTTGCTGACAGATCAAGTAAGGCAAACACTAAAAAAGTGAACACTGAATTTGGCAACAAGAAGGTCTTTGGAGAGCTGGGAAAAACAGTTTAGTTAACGGGTGAAAGCTTGGAGTAAGTTTAAGGAAAAATGGGGAAAGGAAATGAAGGCAAATACAGGCAATTTTCAAGGTATTCTGCTCTAAAGGCAAGGAGGAAAATTGAGTAAGAACCAAAAGTGAGCTAAAAGAACTTTTTATTTATTTTTCTGAGACAGGCTCTTGTTCTCTTGCCCAGGCTGGAGTGCTGTGGCACACTCACAGCTTATTGCAGTCTCAACCTCCCAGGTTCAAGCAATTCTCCCACTTCAGACTCCCTAGTAGCTGAGATTACAGGCATGCACCACCACACCCGGCTCATTTTTGTATTTTTTGTAGAGACAGAGTTTTGCCATGTTGCCCAGGCTGGTCTCAAATCCCTGGGTTCAAGCAAACTGCCCGCCTCAGCCCCCCAAAGTGCTGGGTTTATAGACATGAGCCACCACGCCTGACCAGGGACTTTTTATTTAAAGAAAAATAACAGTATGTTTGTGATACTGTGGTAATGACTCAGTAGAAGAAAAACTGGTGACACAGAAGAGACAAAATAATTATTGGAACAATGTCCTTGAGTAGGTAAAAGGGATAAAATCTAGTAAATGGAAGGGTAGGCCTAAGATAGGACAACGAATATATGAATGGACATAGATGCAGGTAGGTATGTATTTGTGGTAGTAGGAATTTGTAGAAATTATTTTCTGGTCACTTCAAATTCTTTGTGAGTAGGGTTATTGGCTCAGAGTAAAAAGGTGGAAAAGGTATTTGGAAGTTTCGGGACATATGAAATAGTCATCTCAGAGTGGGTAGAAGAACACTAGAGAACTGTTGTTACTGGTAGGCAGCATTATGAGCCCGTGAGAATAGTCAGCCTGCTTGTGTCATTTTTCTCTAATACTTTTCAATTAGCCGCACTGGTACAGACATAAACAGGCAAAAATAGATTTAGACAGTTATGATTTCACCAAATAAGTGAGAGGAAAAAAAAGGACTTGGTGAATGCAAGACAGTGATTATAAGATTAACCATAAAAGTAAAACAGGGTAAAAAGGAAAGAAAGGATACAAGTAGAGAAGAAACAATGATAATATAATAGGATCAATGGGTCCCAGTGAGGCAAAAGACTGCAGGAGTTACAGAGTGCTACAGGAAGTGAGCTGGAAAAACAGAAGTAGTGGTAGGAAAACAGCAAGTCTGAAATAGATCACAAATGAACTCTAGTAACAGGTAAGAGTGGTAAAGGCAGTAATAAATGGAGAACAAAAGGAATAAGAGGCTAAGGTACTGAAAGAATCATCTAGACGAATACTGTAATCACTATATAGTTATAACTATAAATAGGGAATGGGATAAATGTAGTGGCAGATGACTACAAAGAGAAGAGGTAAGTGAGTTAGAGTGATTAATGAGAGGCTGATGCCTGTGACGATTTTTACGATCCAGACAGATAAACTTTATCAGTCTTATTGCTAAGTATTAGGCTCCAGTGTGTCTTCCATATGTGATGATGCTATGACCCAACATTAAGCAGCTCATGTGCTTTCAAGTCAACCTTCCTCTATTATCTGAAGCGCCATTAAGGATTTGGTTTACCACCATAAAAAAACATAATAAAGTGTAGTTTGAACCTACAATCATGAACAGGGCATTCCACTTTAACAAAATGAATTGGTTAAAGTCAATTCATTTCAAATTAGCTACTCAAAAATTCCAGTTCAGAAAATATTTAGGATTACATCTGTATAGATAGGCCAATTAAGTTTTAGAATTGAATCACAACATAATAGTCAAATTAGGAAAGATTTAAAAAAACACAGGAATCATCATTAGGAGGAAAGAATATTTAATTAGAAATATGTTATGCTTGTTTATACCACAACTGGAAGCAATATTAACACTGTTTTTTAATAAAGTCTTATAGTAAACTAAAAGTTTCTTTTCTGTTCAATTTAGCAAGCAATTAACTCTAAATTCAGAGTACATATCTACTTGTTAAGATATGATTTTCCAGGCTGAAAACCTGGTCTTGCTTTTTCAAAAGATGAAGATGTGATTTTGTCTGATGCTGAGTGTAAAATCAAAGTTCTCAGCTATGGCAAAACTCTCCTTTGTGCTAAGAGTGCCACCAACAGCCATGTGTTCCATCCCCATTGCCATGGACTAAGGCATCTACTCCAGAATCTTCCTGAACACTCCATACTCTTTGCTAAGTAAATCAGAAATACAACCTAATGTTGCAGTTGGTATGCGGTCTTGGGCCAACAGTATTGCACTTGAAATATTATACCTCCTATAGAAGCCAGTCTACTCTAAATGATCTTGGAAGAGAAACGCATTAAGAACTTTCTTGGTAAGAATAAACTAATTAGGCTTCTATCTAACTTTCATGTTGTCATATAGCATACTGAAGAGACAATATGGCATTGGGGTCAAGAGTATGTACTACAGGAACCAGAATGCCTAGATATACTCTTAGCCAAGTTATTATAATTTTCTGTGTCTCAGTTTCCTGACTTGTAAAATAGGAATAACAATATTAGTACCTATTGTAAAGCATGCTTTCTCAATGAGGGCAAATATGGTTCTTGGGGTGGGGGGAAATGCATGTGACAAAAAGTTTTATTATCTTTATGAACAAAGCAAGGATATACAGACAGTACGTTAAGAAATACAAGCTATTTTTGAGGATATATTGTACTTTTCATGAAAAGTACAATCAGGAAAAAAAAGTCTAAAAAGGCTCCTTGTGGGGCAATTGAAAAAAAAAAGTTGGGAAGATTAAAGTAGGCAATATACGTAAAAGCATTTAATGATATGTCTGGCACATAGTATTTATTGTTAGCTAAAAAGAGGTGTTTTGACTAAATGAAGAAAAAAGCATTAAGTCCAAGTCTATCTAGAAATGCCAATTGAATGTCTTGGAAGCTAAACTTTGATTTTAAAAGGGAACTCTATGGCTCTTAATACGTAGTGACTTACGTGGAAGTGCAACAACTGATATGCAAGGAGTAGAATCATCAATACTCTGATCATCCTCAGAGGACAAACAAAGCCTCTTATGTGGAGGTTCAATACTATCTTCTGAGTCTATTTCATCCGCTTCTAATGGAAGAAAACAAACAAATAAAAATCTCAAAAATTTCAAACCAATGAGGGAAAACAAAATTTCTAATAATGGTTCTACAATTTTTTTATCTATTAAAAACATTTTCTTACCAATTTGCTCATTTAACTAAACCTAGTTGTGCAAACAGGATTCAAAAGGACATTGCCTTTCTATGCCTACCACAGTATTCAACTCCTGAAGGCGGTGTCTCAAACGTGAAAGAGAAGGGAAGCCCGGGGAAAACTGCTATCTCTCTTGGCAGTAGAAGCAGTATGTGCAGTGACATGGAGGTATGAGAAGCTTAAGGTATAGGTATGTTAGGAAAATAAAGATAGTGTGATCTGCTGGAACACAGGTATATGAAATGTGGCAGGAGGTAAGACTATGAGGAAAGCAGAAACGACTGGAGACCTATGGGCCAAATTAAAGAACCTGTACTATATTCTAAAAACCTTGGGAAGCTTTATGCTATTAATTGTATCATGAACAATTTCATCAGTTGCTTGAAAGATGGATTATAGGTAGGACACTGGTTAAAAAGCTATTAGAGATACCTAGATGAGAAATGAGAAACTGAACTAACAAAGGAGGGCTTGAAACAGACAGGATGCAATGGATTTAAAAAACATAATACTATCAAGAAGTCTTCAAATGAAATGATGCAGGTGATGAGAGAAATAATTTATTCCCAACCACATTCATGATCTGGACACTAATGAAATTCACAGAGAAAGGAAAAAAGAGAACTAGGTAATTTAGGAAGTACATGTAAGGATTGTTTGGGATGTATGAAACTTAAGGTGCCTATGAGAAGCACAGAGAATTCTGTATAAAGACAGAGTCTGAGTCATCTTTATAGGTAGGTGCTACTTAAAATTCTAAGTTTGAATTAAATAACCTAGGAATTATGTACAGAGTGAGAAGAGAAGACAGAACCTAGGTTGAGTAAAGATGAACTTAAGAGCACAATAAATAAATGACATAAATAATGAGCAAGCAGAGGAGTAACAACAAAATTATCAGCTGGAAGGCTACTGATTCTTAATTCATTGTAGATCATCATATTAAGTCATATTCAAATGATTGTGTACAATTCTTTAACACAGGTTCTAACAAAAAAGTCTATTTGCATTGAGGAATAATTCTACATTTCCTAATGAATTAAATATACTGCTGGTACCACTTAGTATAAAAAAATAAGTATATATTATAGTTATTCCATCATTACCTTTGGGGGCTCAACATCCTATTTATAACATAGCAACAAGATTGACAAAAGCTAACATTTATATTAAACTCATAGGCACCTAGACCTCTATTTGGGCAATAGGGGTCAAAAGTGATAAATAAATTCAGAGAGTCAGAATTATATATCAGCAAGTTCTCCTACCATTCTGAGGGCAGTGAAGAATGAGATTCCCTTCTGTGTCCTGAGTCAAAGTCACAGAATTCACAGTTTCTACTGTTACTGTGTCAGAATCCTCTTCCACTGTGCTCATACTCAAATCTGTACAAGAACAGATTCTAGATCAGGATTTCAAAATTTATTCCCAGATATGAAGTATTCTCTTATAATCCCCTGAAATACCACACATATTTATTTGGGTATCTGCCTACAGTGTTCTTCATGTAAAATTGCAATGAGAGTTCAGATTTCAAAAACTGCCTTTCATAAGTTTACACCCATTATTTAGAATTAGATATCTGCAAGACTCTGTTTGCTCTGATAAATTTTAAAAACCTACAACATTTATAATACTTAACGTTTTTGCCACATCCAACCAAAGAGAATCTGTCTTATCAGCAAAAGTCTCACCACTTTTTGATTGTGTTTTTATGGACAGCTTTGTAGGTGCTTAACTTCTTTTTCTTTAGCAGAAGATTCATCAAAATTTTTATCTTAAGAATTATTTTTCCAAAACATTTTTTACAGGTATTTAAGCTCTATCATCTGAAACACAGGAACACTAAATAATTCTTGCTGTGTTCTTTTCAAAATATTGAAAAAGTACATATATCCATCACTGACCAAATTGCAATTTTAAGAGATGAGTTAGTCCTTCTTTTGAAACAGGTAACTTTGAACATTGTTCAAAGTATCCTTACCTGCTATTTTACACAAATATTATTTTCCTCTTGTTCAGAGAGATGGAATAATTAGTCTTGGAATATAGTATCTCATGGCTAGCGGGGGGAAAGGCATGACACTATAGTCAATAGCCTGGCTGAAGTCTTCAGAAATACCTTATAAGGTTTAAAGAGGTTCTTGCCTCAATACTCACTTTTGGCACGTATGTTTTACCAACTAAATAACACAGAGGACATAAACCGTGATATAATTACTCAATGTTTATTAAGTTTTTTTTTTTTTTTTTTAAGAGAAGGGGTCTTGCATTGTTGCTCAGGCTGGAGTGCAAAGGCTATTCACAGGCACAATCTTAAGTGTACTAGAGCCTTGAACTCCTGAGCTCAAGTGATACTCCTGTCTTAGCCACCCGTGTAGCTGGGTACAGGTATGTGCCAACATGCCTGGCTCTCTCTGGCTCCTATACACAAGATATTAGTCCATTCATACATTTACCATTGAAGTGAATGTATTTTCCTTTGACACAAAAACTTTTAACATTTACATGGTGAAGATCCAATAATTCATTAAAATTTTACTATACAAATTACTATTTGAAAAGGACATCATTCATTTTACAATAGTAATTATGCCATTCCCAAAATAAAGGTAAATGGAAATCATGATCTAGTTTTGACAAATTTGCAAATCATGTGACGTCCTTGCAACAAAAGCAGACTTACCTAGACAACGGATGGATCAGCTACAGCCCTTCCCACAGAATCAAGTTGCCTTCCCTTAGCCACCAGCATCACTTTCATGTTACCCAGATTGTTTCTCTCCCATGTTCCTATCTCTGCAACACTCTGAAAAAGTAACAGCATTACACACAATAAGGTTTAATAAGAACAAATGAATAGTATAGCAGTATGCTGATGACAGTCTAGGCTCAAGCCTCTGTGATATCTCATCTCAAAGAGTAAGACAAAACCAGACTTCTTTTTTAAGTAGAACTTTTGGAAATTAGCCTCTAAAAATATTCCCCAATGAAGAAAGGACAGAAATGATGACTATTCACAGTTAGTTTCTTAGCCCAAGTGGCTCTCATCAGGCAGACAAACGTTCTCTGAGAGAAAAAAAAAAAAAAACCAGGCTTAGCTATGCTAGTGGTTCCATGAACTGTAGACTGTGGTACCATTATGTAACATGATGTGTATTATCAATCAATACAGTACCATAAATATTACCAGTAACTATAGTTTTTCTTTATAATTATTAATACCTCTCTTTATGTTTTATCTTAAAGCATAAAGATTATATAATACCCTATTCATTCAGAAAACCCTTTTAAGATGACAGGTGAGCAACCCTATCTAAGAATCTGTGTGTGAGGGGGGACCTTAAACAATTACACCAGAGAAGACAAATTACAAGCTCTTGAAAGCAATGTGAAACCTTATGAAATATGAAATGGTTTTTAAAGGTTTCTTTCAATAAGCTTCTCATCTTTATCCTCAAAAGCCAACCAGAGCTTTAAAAAAAAAGTACAAGATTTGAGGTTCGAGGGGACGTTTCAGCAAAAATTAGGGATTAAAATTCTAATTTTTTCAGCATTCTAATTAGATCCTCTTTGCATTTTCAGTGAAAAAGGTACAGACCCTGCTGGAGAAACATTAAGCTATTGGATTTCATGTTTCATGTTGCTATTTCTGAATCAATTTTTTAAAGGCTGGCTTGTTAGTAATACCTACTGCAAAAGATGGGGGAAAGAAATGTAAAAAAGTTAAAAAAAAAAAAAAGGTTAAAATCATCCATAAACTTTCCAAACAGTTTTTCATACTCTTTGGTGTAGTTCCTTCCAATCTCATCTCCTGGTGTATTGTGTGTCTGTGATTATAGTGACTGTATTCTGCAATTTTATATCCTGCTTTTTTAGAATTTGCTCAGACTGAAAAGTGTGAAGGAAACCAAGGTAGGCATCTAACAAAAGTTATTACTTAAAACTTACACTGTACCGGGCGTGGTGGCTCACCTTTGTAATTCCAGCATTTTGGGAGCAGGATCACTTAAGCTCAGGAGCTTGAGACCAGCCTGAGATAATGAGATCTAGTCTCCAGAAAAAAAAAATTAGCTAGGTGTGGTGGTGTATGCCTATAATCTCAGCTACTCTGGAGGCTGAGGTGGGAGGATGGCTGCAGCCCAGGAGATCAAGGCTGCAGTCTGGGTGACAGAGCAAGAACCTGTCTCAAAAACAAAAAAGCAAAAAATAGAGCTTGTGCTGCAATAAAAAGTGTGACATTATTTAACAGTTATCCTATTACTGGACGTTTATGTTGTTCCCAATTTTTAATTTCCTTAAACCATACTGAAAAACATATTTTTACATTCCATTTCCTTGAATATTAGTAAATAAAAATTGTTAAATCAAAGGATATGACAAAATTTAGAACTCTTCAATCATACTGCAATATATTTTCCCAAAAGTTGCACAAATTTATATCCCAACCATTGAAATGTAAACTCTACTCTTGGTAATCTTGCCAATAGTTATTTCAGGACCCAAGTTAATCCACAACATTGGGAAAAGAACAGGAATCCTGGCTTCTTTTTTAAAGTTCTACAACTCAGGTTAGAGATTAGTGAATGATTTTACGCTACTTCGTAAATTAACAAGCTTATCTGTTCAATCAACAAATATATCCAAATATATTACCTCTACTATACGCAGGTACTGGGGATATAGTCACTTTGTTTTTATGCTGTCATCTTTTTTTGTGGTTTTTGAGATGAAGTCTTGCTCTGTTGCCCAGGCTGTGTAGTGCTGGATCTCGGCTCACTGCAACCTCCACCTCCCGGGTTCAAGCAATTCTCCTGCCTCAGCCTCCCGAGGAGCTGGGACTACAGGCGCGTGCCACCATGCCCGGCTAATTTTTTGGTATTTTTTAGTAGAGATGGGGTTTCACCATGTTGGCCAGGCTGATCTCGAACTCCTGACCTCAGGTGACCCACTTGCCTCGGCCTCCCAAAGTGTTGGGATTACAGGCGTGAGCCACTGCACCCAGTCCCGATATCTTTAATATGTTCTTGATTCACTTTTTTCCCCCTATAGTCTGAGCTATGTGGTCAGTACATTTATTAATATTTAAGAAACTGACCTAGTTTCACTTTTAATGGGTAACACACACAGTTCAAAATTCAAAAGGTAGGTTATTTGTATTAATATTAGCATTAATACTAAGATTATAAGGTATCTAAATGAAGATGTTAAGCTGAAAGTTAAATATATAAAACTAGAGTTCAACATGCCAGGATTAGAACTATAAATCTTAGGGGCATACACATTGTTTTTAAAGATTTCTTAAAAGAGGTTAGAGAAGACAGCCTAGATTACAGTTCTAGAGCACTCTACTAAATCTGGGAAGTCAAACAAAGGAGAATAAGAAGGACTAGCTAGAGATGAGGGAGAAAACCTAAGACGTGTTAACTAAGAAGCACAAGAGGGTTTTTTCAATGAGCATTAAGTAGTCAACTATGTTGAAAACTGCTGAGAGGGTAAGATAACTGAGAAGTGACTATGTAATCTGGTAATATGGAGAACAACTGGTGCCTTTAACAAAAGTAGTTTTGGTGGGAGTAGTAGGGGCAGAAGTCTTACCGAAATAAGTACAGAATTAGAAGTAGGGAAGAAAAGACAAACTACAGGCCGGGCGTGGTGTCTCACGCCTGTAATCCCAGCACTTTGGGAGGCCAAGGCAGGCAGATCACCTGAGGTCAGGAGTTTGAGACCAGCCTTGCCAACATGGTGAAACCCAATCTCTATTAAAAATACAAAAATTAGCCGGGTGTGGTGGAAAGCGCCTGTAATCCTACCTACTTGGGAGGCTGAGGCAAGAGAATCGCTTGAACCCAGGAGGTGGAGGTTGCAGTGAGTCAAGATTACACCAATGTACTCCAGCCTGGAGCAAGGCTTCGTCAAATTAAAAAAAAAGAGAAAAGAAATGACAACCTACAGATACTTTTTTCACGAAGTTTAGCTTTCAAATTAGAACAAAAGGACCAAGTGCAGTCAAGATAGTTGTTACACAGAACACAACTGTATTCTGATGTTGGACTGAGAAATATTGGTGAATAAATCAAATTGTGATAGTGGGGTACAAAGTTTAGTAATTTAGTGCCTGTCTCCTAATTGATTATACATGAACCTATGGTTAATAACTTCTGGAATCCCTCCCCATTTGGTTTGTCAAGAAAATAGGAAAATCGCCAACTCTGCTATCACCTTTTTGGTCCTTTTTGGAGCAAAATAAAGACAGTCATGTACCACATAACATTTTGGTCAACAGAGTGCATATACGGTAAGTCTGTAAGATGACACCACCATATTTTTACCGTACCTTTTCCATATTTAGATATGTTTAGATACACAAATACTTGCCATTGTTAAAATTGTAGTATATTCAGTACAGTAACATACAGGTTTGTGTATTTTCTATGATGCTCACACGAAATCACCCAAACTGCATATCTCAGAACTCTGTCATTAAGCAACACATGACTGCACATCATCAGCTCTTTTCAATTTTCCTTCTTTGTAATGGGTTATACCATATGTACTATTTTTACACTAAAAACGAGAAGATATGGAATAAAAATAAACACAATTTTAACAGCTATTTTAACTGAAGTGGCATTTTCGCATGTTTTCATCGTTTGCTGAGTATCTTTAAATAGCATGATACCTTAGTAAATTAAAGGAAAAAATACCTGAGGGTAGCAGCAAATCTAAATGCAGTTAGGAAGACCATGGAAGATCTGCTTGAGATTTCAAGAATTTTGAATACATATGAAAATTTTGTCTATTGGTGTACAGCTTTATGACCAAGGAATTCAGCTTTGTCATCAGTTATTAGAAAGCTGTGCAAGGAATTGGTTTTATCCATAGCTTTATCAGTGGAGAGCCGCTTACAGAAAGAACCATCAGACGTGTTTATATAAATTTTTTTTAACAGCCCTAATGCTTTGGCATTGCTGTTTATTTATGCACTCCTTATTTATAGCTTTGATAGCTTTAATTTTCTAGTTTATCATGTCCCTATCTGAAAAATGTAGTTGTACGCCTTGACATTTCCATTAAAAACTTGAATTTTGAATTATTTATGCATAACTATGGAATTTGTTACACTAGGCTGAAAGTTGACAGGATTTCGGCTACCATCTGTAAATTTTCATTTAGATTATGTATCTCACAGTCTTGTTTTTTAAAAGAACAGGGGAAACATTTCTTGTAATCTGCTGTTTAACAAGTTTTTTAAAGTTTGTCAGGCAGTTAACAGTGAGCCAGATCATTTTTGTATTGATTGAAAAACTTAGGTTTCAGTATTAATGACAGAGCTTAGCCTAGCATTACTTGTAGTTTGAATCATTTAACTCTAAGGAAAATATTGGTTAAGAATGTTTTCTAAGTTTTATCCCCTATAAATGAAGACCTAAAAAAATGTATAAAATGAAATACAGTGAATGTGCAAAATGCCAGTTGACTTTTATTACATAAAATTTAAATGTGTACTTAATAAATCTTGAGTGGTTACTTGATAAATCACTAGATAGGTGGTATGTTTCAACAGTTATTTAATGCTTTCTGAAGAAATAAGAATTTCTGGTCATTAAAAACTAATATGTTCTGCATCAAGAATTATGGCTTTCTAAAATTATTTTAACTCAAGTTTCAACTCATTGATGACTCAAGAATTTTAGAAAACTTAGGATAGCATTCTGTTCCTGTAACGATCTCAATGAAGTTTTTTTGCAAGACTAAAATGTATTTGATTTGTTCCTTAAATTATAGATTTTGTTAGATGCCATTTAACTAATGGTACAGAATTCTCTCCTTAGCAGCATTTTGTTTTTCAGACAAGCTGAAGTGGTTTTAATAAGACTGAGTAATATTTAAATTACCTTTTAGACCTCTTTTAATCATTGAGTTTTTAAGCATGTGGCATCTTTAACAAGTACATTGGAAGGTTTATTATTGACAGAACAGGTTGGGATACAATAAGGACTTGGGATAAGTCATTTCATTAATAATCACTACAAATGCTGTGTGTTTTAATTTATAAAACCAGAGAAAACAGCTTCTGCCAAACTTCAAAATTTGTCTATACTTCTGGGTCATGAAAGTTGATAGTTTTATTTATGACTACTTAGATTGTTATTTATGCGTTAAAGCAGGAAAATATATTGAGAATTATGTTTATAGTGAACTTCTTTAATGCATATTTCTTAAAACATAAACATACTTTTAATGCATACTTAGTATTTTAAAAACCAAACAAAACAATTACACAATTGCAGGTTTGTACATACTGTCAATGACAAAAATAAAACCACTGTGGTGCCTTAAAAAAAAAACCACACAACCTTAACTGTGGTACAAAACTCTTATCATGAAGTCATTGTGTCTTCATTATAATACAATCTTATAGCTTCCAAATGAAAAAGATGACCCTATTTAACACACTATAACCTGGAAGAACAAAAAACGATAAGCATAAAGATATAACTCTTGGATCTGTTATTTAACACAGAATTCAATTAAAGAAATGAGTCATTCATGCTATTCTTCCTTTCAGTATTGATGTAAAGTTCCTATCCAATGGGTTATCTTAGACTGGTATTTCCATCAATTGAGTCTACCTATCATCCTGATTTTCCTGGGTATTTAAGTGTTGAATATCTTCTAAAAACCAGAATCAAGGAATAAAGTCACCTTTCTTCCCAGTTTGGGGGGCTAATTCCGTAAACAGATGTATACTCATTTCCAAGTACAGTACTGACACAAGTATGGAAGAGTTTAGATGCTATTAGTGTCAATCTTGAGAAGCACAGGAACCAGCATTTGCTGACCATAGACGCTTGGAGCTGTGCTTCTAAAATGGAACATGGGATGAGACATGATATAAAATATTCCCTATTTTAATATACTCACTTTATACTGTGAAATCTTGCAAGCTACAGAACATACAGCACCACAATTTTATTAGGTGAGTTAAAGACTGAGAAACATTGGCTGAGAAACAGTCTCTGGCATAATTCAACTTATAAGGCAATAAGGACAGTTTTCAGATGTTTTTTTCTCCTGACCTAATACAGTACAAGAAAAATCATCCATATTCTTTCTGTGTGATTTGCAAGTCTTCTACCCATGTATCAGCATGCCTATCTTTTACTGTTTTCACAATATTAAGATCGTACTGTCACATCTTTTTTGTACTTACTGTATCAGGAGCATTTTCCTGTATCATTACTACTCTACATTTTGAATGGGCACATAGATCTAAATTTATCTAATTCGTACCTATTACTGAACATTTGTTTTTGTGGCTATGTTATTATAAAACTCCAAATGGACTATCACCCTATCATTGAATAACTAATGTTTTAAAAAAATACTTAAAAGAGAATTTGCTTAGTAACGTCTAAGGAATTTGGAAGATATTTTCAGATAATTTTATTTTGAAATAATGAAAGTCTGCTAAGTAGAAAATCTTAGTGGAAGATAATAGGTAACAAATTCATACATCATGAACATGGGTACACAGAGGGCTGTCAAACAACAGGTAAGGTCATAGAATAAGCATAACATCTTCATTAAGTACAAACTTTATTCAAGACACGAATAGGAACACTACACACTTGAAGAAGAATGTTTTGGACTATGGTGCCAGGCCCCGTGGGATTTGTTCCTCTATACACTTTGTGGAAAACTTTGAGCAGCAGAGCCATAAATGAACATAAGGCATATTCAATTAAGGTACCTAATTAACTTTTACTATGGCTTGGTTTTAAGATGGTAAAATATGACTATATATCATAAAAATGTCAATACAGCTGTTAGTGGAGTCTATTCTAGCAGGCTTTAATGGCTTAAAATGTTTATTTCAATTATCAACTATTGAAAACAATGTCATTATTACTTGCGTAAGGAGGATTACTTGATAGCATGGATCATTTTAAGGTGCAGCATTTCATAACTGGTTTGACAATAAAACTATATTGCTTATTCAAAAAGCAAAAATGTTATTTTTCACTTCATGTATGGTTCAGGAGCTTATAATGTGTTATTTGGTACACTTGAAAGATTTCATCTATTCAAAACTGAGTACTTTTATACAAGGCACCATCAGAAGCTCTTTAAATGGAAATATACAGTATCACCAGACATCTGTGATTTACAGTGAATTTTTTTTTTCCAGTTAATTTTTAAAGCACATTTACTCATTAGATACTAAAATATACACAGGCAGTAAAATAAACCTAATGAGCATTTCTGATACATAACACCTGATGGGAAGTGAATGAATCAGCTTTGACCACTGGTGATTGGAAAAATGACCTAACAGTGTACATAATCAAAATGACATTTAAATAAATGAAACGGTAGAAAATTTAATTGTTCATAATGAGTTCCCCAGTGTGCTTTTCCCTGACAACTTATTTCTAGTATTCAGTCATGGAATGGATTATCTTTCTACAAACTTGGGGCGGGGAAAGACATGATAACCACATTCCTCCTTTTATTTAAACTTATCTACCTTTATAGAATCCGAGCAAACACAAAATCTATTTGTGATTTCTATTACAGGAATTTTCTTCACAAAATGAAAGCACCATCAAGATAAAGGGAGAAATGACACGAAAGCAAACAAATGCCACACAGATTTGGTAACTATCTGTATTTTATCTTTACTATTTTGAAATTAATAAAAATCATTTAGTTTACCACTTTCTCGGGTCATCTTATCATTTGGAGACATAAAGGACCTGAAATTGCAAAGCATTTAAAAGTATATCAATTCCCAGGAAATCCTTTCATATATGAAAAATATGGTGGTAAGAAAAAAAATGGACTATTAAAATGAAAACTCCATTTTGGAAAGGCAAAATAACACCTCAGTGTTAAATATGCAGTCTCTACATATGATATTAAAAAAAGTAGAATGAACCCTCCCTAAACTTAGTTCCTTTCTAAGCTTTTGATGTCTTTGCAACAGACAGATGTGTGTTTAATACAAGTGATGCAAGACGTCAATACTTTCAAAAACACTTCTAAGCTCCCTCAATATTTTAACATCTATGTGCCAGGCAGTAAATCCTTAGGGAACACTTGTTTCACATTATCGCATTCATCCTCACAGGTGTTAATTTAAGCCAATGCACTTAATGAAGCTTGGCAAAAGCAACTGTTTAAAATAATGAGATGTTGTTTTCAGGACATGTAAGTTTATTACACCATTTATAAAAACTAGAGTCTGTAGATGTTGGAGAGATAAATGAGGCTAATAGAAAGGTAAGATTTTTGCGGAGAAAGTAAAGGCAAGATTTTGTGATTTAAATACTAACCAATGATATCAAACTAACCTTATAAAATACATACACTATCTCCCCACCTTTAAAGCACCCCTGGGGTGTAATGAGATAACTAAAGCACTGAAAAAAGAGATCTCTAAAAAAAGGACTAGAGGACAGCTACCTACTTTTGATATGATTCTCTACCAGTAAACATTTCCCAGCCATGCTGTTTTCAAAGCTCAAGTCATAACCCCCAAACTTTGATTTCTTCCCCTCAAAATACTTCTAAAACCTGAACACTCAAGAGAAAAATGTTTACATAAAATAATGTATTCATATAACTGCAAAGTATGAACTTAAAGTTCTAAGAAAGATGCAATGCCCAGTACTTACTGATTAAATGTTGATGAAGACAGGGCAATAGCATTTTGGCTCCACCATTAGCTCAACTGCAACCAATTAAAGAGATTCACGCAGAATATGCAGGTGCTAAATCAGTCCCAAAAAGCATATTTTGGGGTGAGCCTATCAACTAAAATAGTAAGAAAAAAAATTAGCTTGTTTGGTAGCATACAGAAGTATTGGGAGTTAAAATGAGATAAAAATCACCATAAATCATTAAATGTATTTTTCACACCTATAACATAATGGTTTTTTTCCAGAAACAATCAGGCTGGTTTTCGTGCTTTGTGTACGAAGAAAAAAACTATTCTCACACCAAACTGGATTGTCTCAGCATGACAATTTTTGTAACGTTAAGGAATGTAGTTTTAACCTTTTTTCTCTAAATCTTAACAGAATTTCTAAATCCTAACCAAATAAATCTTGTCTCTAGTACACCATAAGAGCAAAAAGATAAGATTTTGGTGTATCGCGATAGTCATTCTCTAAATGTTAAAGTGATGGTAAATTATTCAAATTATTAAAAGACAGTAATCCTCAGAAAGCTATTTGAAATATAAATTCAAAACTAGCTTAAAGAAATTTGAAGTAATGAAAAAATATGAAACCCTTAACTTAAAAAAACAGATTTTGTAATACTTTCAACATAGTAGAATAGTATTTTCGTATTTGGACTGGAGCTTAAAAGCTACAAATAGTTTTCTCCCACGAATTAAAAATACAGGTATAACTTAAAATTTTCCAAATGGCATCACTTTAAGACACGTCATATTAAAAAATAATTCTACAGAATATGCATTTTTGTAGGACGTCCCAACAAGCAGAGCCTCGCCTGTCAGAAAGGAGGCCCACGTACAAAAATCAAATCCATGTACATTAAAAAGAGGTACACAAAGATGAATCGAGTTGCGAAAAAGGCAACTACACAAATTCAATGAGAAAGGGAGGAGTCCTGACTCACAGACCGAATATTTTATATAAAGACATATGCTCTATCATTCAACTGCACAGAATGGCACTTGGCCACTTCTCTCAAATCTGCTCTGGAGATTGTGGTAAAACATTCTATATACCTCCCTGAAGAAATTCTCAAAGCGAAGTCCATTTTAGAGAACAAAGTAGACTTAATTTTAGGAACTTTCTCGGAACTCAGCACAACAGAGTAATTACTACTTCACAGACGCATTTTCCGTGCTCCACCAGGGCTCTGTCCCCGCGCCCCAGCCCACATCCCTTCTTTAAAGAGACTCAAACTGACTGAGACGGTTTGGCCAGCTATCCCGATTCTCTAAGTCTGGGCCGTGAATCGCCGAGCAAGGCTGAACCCCCGCAAAATTACAGAAGAATCTAAAGCGCAAACGAGGTAAAAGAACAACAAAAAAAGCAAAGGGGGGGAAGTTGGGTCGAGACCCGCCCCCACTCTCTCAACCCCACCCAAGCCTACCTCTCCTATGCTGAACCATAAAACAAAACCGAAAACGTAACAAAAATACAAATTAAAAAAAGAACATCACGAGAAAACAAGTAGGGCTTCTTTACTGTCTCCACTCCCTCTGGCCCAGTTCTCTACCCAACCTCCAGGCCCACCCCACCCCCCAGGGGTCCCGGCGCCATTTAGCTCCTCCGAAGCCGCCGCCATTTTCCGCCCCCGCCGGATCGCTGCTGTGCCTCGGCGGCCGCTCGCTTCCCTACTCTGCAGCCTGAGCCACGGGCGCCGCCCGGCCCTAAAAGGGAGGCCCTGGCCGGAACGTGTGGGGACGGCAGCTGCAACGTCAGGAAGGCCAGGCTCCGACCCCGCCCGCAGTGCCCCGGCGCCGACAGCTTGCGCCAGCCGGCGGGTGCTAGCGGGCAGCAAGGGGGCCGGACAGGCTCCACTGGGCGGAGCGGCCCTGACGGCGGTTGGGACCTGAAGGTTCCATCGCACTTACTTCCTGTTTTGGGTCCGGGCACTTTGGAAGAACCAGGATGGAGGCTCCAAAAAATACCAGGATGGAGGAAGCAGCCACGGGCGAGAGTGGCTGCAGCTGGAGTGAGCGAGCGCGACAAGCCACCGGAAACGGAGCTGCAGCCGCGCCCCGCCCCCAGCTCCCCGCACGCTGCCCCTCCCGCTCGTCTGTCCCGCGGGCGGTCCCGCGCGCTGGCTGCACGCGTCACTTCCGGCTGTGTCGGCGCGCGAAAAAAGTTCTTGGGTTGGAACGTTGGTACTAGTCTGTGGCGGTGTTTGTCGATTGTCCTTCTCTGCTACGAAATCTCGGCACTGACTGTCCCATTGCTGATGCTATAAAAGAGGTCCTTCTGCTATGACGCAACTGTGGTTCCTCTGGTTCTGGGGAGTTATGCCCCGCGTGCCGATTTTCATAGTTCCATGTGGCTCCGAGCCGAGGGAGCCGCGGTGTGGAAAGGAAGGAACCGATGGTCTCAGTGCTGAAGAAAACGGAGTGTGTGTCTTCATGCTTGATTTCCCTTGCCGCAGGGGCTTAAAATGAGATGTCTGGGCGTGAGAAGTCGTTCTTGATGAAATGTGTCCTCTGTGAGTGTGGTCTCGCTGTTAGACTAGGAAGATGCTATTTTGCTGTGCCCAGTTCCTCTTGAAAGTACAGATGCTTCTTGGGTTGCGATTTCGTTTTAATACCCTTATAAAGGAAAAGGATAAGCCTTTGGGTTCTGTAATGTGAGCCAGCATTCTTTGAGTACTTACATGTCAGGTAAATGTTTTACGTGTATTAAACTAATTTAATGTTCATAAGTGCTAAGTGCATCGCTGCATTATTACAAATGAATCCCATTTTACACAGGAACCAAAGAGAAGTGAAGGAATGTGTCCAAGGGCTCCCAAGTTGGCGGTGGAATTAGAATTGAAGCTTCAGCTCCAGAGCCTGTGTTCTGAACGACCCGGTTGCAGCTCACAAAATACACTTTGGCAGTACTTTCATAACGAAAACAAATGATTACAACTAGTTTACAAATGCTTTACTTTACTGGAGGATCGACATGTTTGACTGATTTTCAAAAATAAATGTCAGAAGCAGCATTTTCTTGTGTTGATAACTTTATTACTAATTTGTGGCACTCTGCATTCTGTTGCAGTTAACCTGTATATCATTCCATTTTTTAATAAGTACATAATAATGTTTATGTAAGCAAAACTATGAGGCAGAATAGTATTGTGGTTTGGACTCGGCAGTCAGACCTGAGTGTGAATCTTGGCTCAATTTCTTAGTAGTGGATATGGCACTTCACCTCTTTTAGCTTCGTTTACTTTAGAAAAATGGGAGTAATAAGACCTACCCTCCAGACAACATATTTTGCATAGAACCTGACATGTATTAAGCATTAAAAATGGAAACTAATAAACCTTAAAGCCAGAAAAGCAATACAACTACTCAAAGAGCAGTTCTAATAAAGTAATAATTACATATGCAAAATTGTTGACATTAACACTGATTAGAAGGTGATTCCTAATGAGCCACATTTTTCATAAGACATAACCATATAGGATTCTTTTTGCTAAGGCATAAAATAGTGATATATAAATTATAGTCGAGCTGTCCATTCTCTTCTACTAAATTTTAGGTCAGCCTGCACCCTGCTAATTCCCCCCAAAAAGTCAAGTTCATCCTCATAACTAAATTCTCCCTTTCTGGTTGAGTTTGTTTTATAACAACCTTTTCCCAAGTCAGTTGGTATTTATTTAGGGATGACAAGTGTATTTTAATATTAATACATAATTTTTTTAAAAAAAGTAACATCTCTATCCCTTTAACTTGAATAATCAATGTAAAGACTATCCATAACACAACTTGATTCCTAGAGCAATTTTCTGCAGTTCTACTTCTTTGTTATCCGTACCTCATTACCTAGTCAATGTGTACCTAGGGAATGGATGAGGTTTTAAATATTATCCAAGGATTTACCTATTTAGGAATTAAATGTTTTGTAGAAAAATCATTAGAAATATTTCTATCCTAAATAATTATGAAAGTATTTATAGCATAGCTATGGTATTTACTGCATTTGCTAGTTAAAATTGACTTTGTTGAACTCCAGATGTTTATAACACTTTCATGAACCTCATCAGTGATTGAATGATGATGAAATTGCCTTTTATGACGGGTTGATATATTAATATAAAGTATTTCAAATACTGAGAAGCAGGTTCTGTTGTTTCATGATCATCTCATGCTAATTCAGAAAAAAGATGTTTATAAGCTTTTGTTCAAAGTAAAAGAAAACTACAATTACTGAGTAATTTTCTTTCTACACAGTCTCTGAGTCCTGTTAATACAGCTGATGGGGATTGCTGTGCTAATGGAGGAATGAATAAACTGTCCCAGTTAAGCCCACGCAACAGGCTTTACCAGGTGGTCTCCTGTCTCAGATTCTTCTTGTAGGCTTCCCTCTGGACCTTAGGACACTCCATCTTACAATCCTTTTCCCGCCTTGCATTTTGCTTGTGTGTCTCATCTCTACGATTCTTTTAATACCTCAGCTAGGTGACCACCTTTCTATGTCCACTTCACTTTTTTCTTCTTTTGTGGTAAATCTTTGTTGAGAACTATTGATAGAAGATTAGCCAAAAAAGTGTTTCCTTATCAAGGGAATGGAGAGCTAAGGCTTCCAATACTCCTAGCCAATAAGGATAAAAATTTTTGTTCTTTGTAATTTTGATGTGCAAAACAAAACAAACAGTTCAGATACTTCATTAAAACAGGATAATATCCAGACCCAGACTCAAAGACCTGTTCCTTTATAATCTAGCATGGAAGAGAGAGGGACAGTATATTAGTTAACTAAGCAATAATTGCCATGTTTTGTAAGTTCTGAGAAAGATACAACTTGGGTGCTCTGAAGTGAAATTTTATAGAGTTCAGAGCAGGCCTTTCTGAGAAGATACTTAAGCAGAAAGGTAAGAATAAACAAGCGTAGTAGGGGGTGCAAGGTGAGAAAGCATTTGTCCAGCTAGTGTATGAAAGCATGTTTGCAGAAAGCAACTGGCTTGTAAAATGTTTATAAAATGGTGAAAGCACAGTACTGCCAGGTGATAGGCTGTCCCTTGCAAATGTTAGCTGAATTTCTCAAAAAACTTTATTGTGGTAAGAAGACAACATGACGTCTGCCCACTTAATAAAATTTTAAGTGTACAAAACATTATTGACTATGGGTACAGTGTTGTACAGCAGATCTCTAGAGCTTATTCATCTTACTTGAAACTTTATGCCCACTGATTACTAACTCCCCATCCCCTCTCCCCAGCCCCTGGTAAACCACCATTCCACTCTGATTCTACAAATTCGACTATTTTAGATACTTAATGTAAGTGAAATTATTTAATATTTGTATTTCGTGACTGTTTTATTTCACTTAGCATAATGTCCTCAAGGTTCATCCATGTTGTTGCATATTGCAGAATTTTCTTTTTAAAAAATTTTTTAAATTTATGTTCTAGGGTACCTGTGCATGAGTTAATGGGTGCAGCACACCAACATTTTCTTCTTTTTTAAGACAATAGTATTCCTATTCCTCTAAGATTAGAGCTCAGTGCATGCCCAGACAGCAGAAATAGGCCATCTTCCCCCTTTGCCATGAGCTTTTATTTGCTAATATATGCCACAGTACCTTAACTTAGCAGACATTTAAATGTTTGTTGATATTAAAGATAATTGTCTTAAGCCAGAAGACCTGGAAGCTAGCCACTTCTATTCTTTGGCAAGAACAGCTGACTACCGGAGATCACACAGTATTTTTCCAGATAGTGTTGCTACTTGGACAATTCTCGACAAAAGCAAACAGGTTAGCTATTTTTCAAGTGGAAAAAAGTTATTTTAACACATCACATATTTGGTGTTACTCTAAACCTTATTGCTCAAGTCTTGTGCATCTAGGTGCAGTATTTTAAGAACAGAAGCATGTCACTTTAGCCAGTAGATGTCCCTATTGTTCAGCAGTTTTTTGTTTTTGTTTTTTGTTTTCTTTCCCAAGTAGTAACTTGAACAGTAAATAGAAATTTTGGGGCCTTCATTGTTAATGATATGCTGTGGTAGACCAAGGACAAGCCTCAACAGTAATAAAACTAAAAGGATAAGGATTATGCTTTGAAATCAAAATATGAGAAAGCTCTCTAGAATTAAAAGACTTGTAGATTAATCCCCTTCCCTTCTATTCACTGTACATTTAATTCCTTTGCACAGAATATGCAGTGAAAGAGGAAGAAACAAGGAACCTCCGTAATGTTTATAACTTTCAGGAGTTTGCACATTTGTGATACACTCGCTCATTTCCTTCAGCAGCTCTTCCTGAGCACCTGCTTTGGGCACTATTTTAGGCACAGGAAATATGATGGAGAACAAGAGAGACAAGATCCCTGCTCTCAAGGAACATATATTCTAATGGAGGAGCTTACATTATAGTAGTATAGTGCATCTTTGTGCCAAACTTGTTTGGGTAAAGTACTCACTAAATTACTGGCAACTGCCTATAAAACTTGCTTATAATTAACAACTTAATGAAGGATGAAAACAAAATATGAATCAAATTGATAGCAGCAGAAGGCAGACAAATTCCTCCACGGATGGGACAGGTCCCAGTGAAACCTGACCTTCAAGCCAAAGACAGCCTGAAGCCTGAAAACCTGGCAACCAGTTCCAAGTGGAATCCAGTACCCAGAGTGAGAACTTTCTCAATGCCTTACAATGAATCAAATAGTGCTTTTTCCAGGCCCACCCATGGTCCAATCAGCACACACTTCCTCCCACCCATGGGCCAGTTAACACACACTTCCTCCATTCTGAGCCCATAAAAACCCTGGACACATCCACGAGTCAACACTACCTGCCTGCAGGTAGGAGCTACCCGCTTAGGTCTCTTC